TGTGTGTGTGTGTGTGTGTGTGTGTGTGTGTGTGTCTGTATGTGTGTTTGTAGGTGTGTTTCTCTAAGTACAGCAGGACTGGGCTTCATGTGTTCAAGTTCCCATTTTTTTGTACGACTTTACGGCCTTGTTCATTTACTCTTAATATATTGTTCGCTTTTTTCAGATGAAAATTACTTTTGGTTTTCTTTACTGTAAGTTTTCGCTACGGATTTTCAATTTAAAGAAAGAAAAAATACTTTGATGTGCAAAATCAGTGGAGATCCGCTTTCTAAATAAACAAACAAAGGTGAAGGTAAATGTACTATTTCTTCAAGCTTAAATCGAGACTGTGATCAGATTCGATTGGAAACAGCCTGACAATATTAACAAACAACCATCATCTGCTAAAGTCTGTGTGCTGCACTGAAATACATGACATCCCCCTTTTTCCTACTGCCACACCCACTTCCAAACCAGTGAGACAAGATAGGAAAAAAAAAAAGAAAAAAGAAATCTTGGTTCTCAACAGTAAAGCAGTTCTAACTGTACCAAAAATGTATCCATGTTGGAGCCAATCGCTTATAGTAAGAAGCTTATTCATAAGCTTAAATTGGCCTTCGAAGTGGGACAAAATAGGATGCTAGCATTATTTTTACAATAGGTACATTGAGACAAAACTTAGTAACAGTATTTCTGTGTAGGTGTGTGTAGGTGTGTGTGGGTGCGTGTGTGTGAGAGTTTTGGATTGTGGCCATGCTACACCTGTCAGTACGACTATGTTTCTCTTTAGAAGCAGCCAATATGTAAATCAGCAACAGCCATGACGCACTGGACTGCTCTACATTTGCAAAATGCACAGGGAGCTTTCAAACATATGCAAAGTTCTGCTCCTCTTCAGGCAAACAAACACCACAGCCAAGTAAATACTCTGGCATTAAGTGACAGAGAACTTGCACTTTTTCACCTCTGTTTTGAAAGTGCAATAATAGTTCAGAGGGAGGAAAAAACTTTTCCATTTAACCTCTGGTGAAATAATCACAGGTTGTCCAAAATATGCTTCGCTGTGGTTAATAGTTACCATCCAGCTTGCTGGGTCAGCCTTGCCAGGGCCTGACGCTGACACTGTAGTGGCTGCTGAGTGGTGTTTTCCCTCTATTGCCTGCACCTTTGTGCCCTAAACGCTAATGGAGACCCTCACGATAACTACAATCCTAACAGCAGGCCAGGTTTGTAATGCCCTCTCATTGTAATGAACTCTCTAAAAGCATCTCACCACTGCTGTCTATACTCTACAGAGAAATAAAAGAGAGGGAAAAAAGCCCTGTAGTGTCAAGCATTTTGATGATATAATTTGGTCTAAAGAAGGAATCCACCTCAAATCAGTCGTCAACTTATGCAGCTTGTAATTTTCTCTCACTGACATTTTTTTTAAATATTCCCTATGAAGATTTTCACAGTCGTTCAAACTCTTATCAGCCTCAAACAGGACTGGGAATACATCTGCCTGCCTGAACTTCCCACCGAGTGACATATATGCTTTACAGTAGTCCCAATGAGAGGCCTGCAGAATAAATCTTGTGAGATAAAGAAATCACATCAGATTGCCAGACGTCCTTGACTTGACATGACTCAAATGAAAAACAACATCTGAGGACCATATCAACAAAATCACAGGGGAACCAAAAAACAAGTTTCTTTTTACGAGTATATCTAGCAGTAAAATTGTATTTCTTTTTTTTAAATTTCAAACTCACGGTCAATTTCTTTTGTTAATAACGTCACTGTTGCCATCTAAACGCGTTACTTCTGCTTTCGGAAAAAAAACACAGCCTCCTCTAGTTTTTATGAATGAGAACACGTATGAATGAGACCGTTTGAGACACATTAGCAACATATACTGTACATGTATTTCATATGATCAGTGAGAATGTTATTGTGGCACTGCATGTGTGGCAGACAGTTAAGGTGAACACTGGACAGGATAAACTCCACCAAGCCAATCCAGAGAATGAATAACATCAATCATGTCTATTTAATTTAGGGGGATTTTGTGGCATCTTACAGAACGGGTCATCTCCTCTGCAAGGCATTAAATGCATTAATTCCACTCTGTTTTAATAAAAGCAAGAGCAGAGTTAGTCTGGGTCAGGGATTCGGTGCAGCGATAGACAATCATGGCAGCTGGCAAAAAAATCACGAGGAAGGATGTTTGATTGGATGAAAGCTTCCAGGTGAAAGTGGGCCAGCAGACTGGTGAGCTTAGAGGAATGAGAGAGATGGACTGTGGCTTTGCAGGGTGTGAGAGATAGAGACGCAACAGAGGCTGACTATTTGTATCCCATGTCGAACAGAGGCAGAAAAACAGGATTAGACTTACATCAATGTAGTTGGCGTTAATGTAGTCTGAGTTGGGGTCTCCCAGGAGAGGGTGGAGCTTGACTCTGTGGCGGTCATCTGAGACAGATTAGAATAAAAGAGCAAAGGACTGTTGAAGTACAGAGTGTACACAACAATTTCTCTTCATTGTTTGTACAGAAAATATATTGGTTCCGATGACTTACATCCCAACGTGTCATCCCTCCCTTTGGTTTTGTCCTTCTTCTTAGTGCAGTCCCAGCCATCAAAGAAGCTCTACAGAGATAAAGAGACCCGTGCAGATTTTAGGAACGGGACCTCTCTATATCAACCATTCAAAAAATATCTTCGATAAACATTAATCAAAGCTTCAATACATGTTTTCTTTTGTTTCATGTTACAGAAAATTGCCATGATACAGAAAATTGTGTTTCATGGCGAGCATGATAAAAGCCTATCAGCACATCAAGCACGGCGAAGGAGATCAAGAGCCATTGTATCCTACGGAGAGGTTTAGTGGTCATGCAATTAATTAAAACCCGGTAACTATATACCTTCTGGGTTCAAATTTTGTGGACACCATCGATGAGAGTATCAAGAGATACATAAATCCATCAAAATAATCCCAGAATTGAGTTTTATCACATGAGGCTGTGCCGCACAAATTGACCAAACAGTGATCATCGAATCATAGCTTAGCAACCATAGACACAGCAAGTCTTTGGATCTTTGGAAACAGGTTTATTGCCAAGTAGGTTTTCACATACAAGGAATTTGCCAAGCTAGTTTGGTCCATAACGATCACAATAAAATGTATTGAATAAATACAGTAAGATAAAAGAAAAAACAAGTACTGCAAAAGCCAATAATTATAAACATAGAACAGAAATGTATGATCAAAATATCTAGTGTAGTGTCTTTTTGATGTAGCCATTTAAATGCATATTTAAGGCTGCTTGTACACAGTTTTCGGTTTAAAATGGGGACACCTGTAGACAAAGTTAGCTGGAGATGGCTCCTGGAGCTCCTCCAAGTACTGGAGCTCATGTTACCTTAACTAGCTAGCTGATAAGCTGATGAAATCTGCCAACGACAGTTATTTCAGGTTGCGAGACATGAAAAGCCTGCTTTTGTCCATCTTTGCCTAAAATTAAGGTCACATTGTTTCAGAAATTCCAGATGTAAAACTGCTGCATTATCATTGTCAATGCCGTGTGAGAACAGAAAAATGCAAAAACAAAAAGCCAATCATAGCTTTCTCTTGCATGAGGAATAAATTGTTGCAAATTGAGATGAAATATTGTTGATGAATACTGCTCTGTATGGTTCTTTATACAGTATATGAATCACTGTATGATGAGAAGACTTGTAATTAGAGTGAAGGCAGAGAAGCTGACACCTGCTTGGTGGATGGCTGTTCAGCTGTATTATATATACACATTATACTCAGCAACACAGCTCCTCGCTCCCTATCCACCTGTCTGCACGGATGCACTGGTGAGCAATTACTCTCACACAATGTCATAAGGCACTTTTAAGTTATTTTTAAAATTATTTATTTATCTATGGTTTATTGGATAGGAACATATACATTATACAAAGACAAACTAAAAACAGCTGCAAGTATCATGGTGCTTACAGCAGATGCTAGTTTGTAAGAACCAAGAAGGTTTTTTTATGAAACTAAGAGATTAGAATGAGGTATGTGAAGTCTGCAAACAGCCCCTTCAGATCACACACACACACACACACACACACACACACACACACACACACACACCCTTACCAGTCTACCCCCCGTGATTTTCAGCCACTGGGGGAATTTGGTGAAACTCTGCCCAAGTATGCATGCTGAGCAGGGGATTACAACTCAGTTCTCCCCACAGAGAGCCGAGAACCAGCCAAATCCTGCCTGGGATTACACCCCCCCTCCTCCCCCACACACACACACACACACACTTTTTCCTCCTCTTTCCTTGCGCTCCCACTCACGGTCCATCTCTCTTTCCCTGAAACCCTCATTGTCTATCTATCTTCATCACTTCTCGTCCTGTTTCTCCCTCAATTCTATTTTTGACACTAGACCGCTGAGCTCTCTTTCTCTGCTCCCACCACTCCTCTGCTCAGTCCTCCAGGGAGGAGAGAGGACCAGGGAGAGGAAAACACAGGAAGAAAACAGTGAGAGAGTGGCAGTATATCGAAGGGAAGTGAAGAGAAACAACACAGATCCGTGGAAAAATGTATTAAAAACCCTCATTGGCAGGGATCATTGGAGTGGGTCTGTTAAGAGGTTTACATGAAATGAGGAAAATGAGATGAAAGAAATAATGACAGTGCAGCACAGCCTTGAACTATTAACATCATTACTATTTTAAAAAACAATTTTTTATTCTAACATCTTGATGCGATATCAACATCCTACTAGATTTCATAATGTGCATTGTTTGTTTCCCCTCAATAACAAGGCAATAGACAATCTGTCCTCCACAATTTCCCTTTTGGGATCACCTAATAACTGTTATGTCACCTTGTTTGACCTGTAATTATTTCACCCGCATAATTTGTGAAATGTCAGAAACTGTGATGAGATTCATAATCCCACCATATCCAGTCAAAATCCAATCAGAGATGTCTGAGATGTGATACAATTGGGACACTGAATTCAAAAGAATATAATAAATAAGCCTGAATCACGCTTCCCATAAGGTAGCATTAGATAGCTGTTGTTTTTTTAAAACAAGTGCAGTAATTCAGTTGCCCCTGGTGCAACTAAACTTTGAATCAATGAGGCCATCATCCTTGCTAACCTCAGCCTCAGGGTGCAAAGTGGTATTATGAAAGTTTTGAGCTCTCAAGTAAAGCTCTCTGTTTGTTTATTCGTAGGTTTCTGTGGTGGGAATAGGACAGTAGTGACAGTAGCTGCCATACAAGCCCCTTTACAACTCACTGTAAAGTCTTGATCAATGTTTTTACACAACATAGGTATTCTTCGGGGAAATAAAACCTATACCTGCCGGGGGAGTGTAATATGATGCTCCTCATCATTTTCCTTCATAATGGAGAGAGACACTCTATCAAAATACATACTCTAGCAAAGTGGGAAAAAAACAAAGCAAAGAGGTGTGTATTGATCTTTTGAGTGGAGTGTGTTTTGCCCGTGAGGGACAGTTTAATGAGTCTACAAGCAGAGTTCCAGAGGGTAAAACCATGAACCAGAGACAAAAGATGTTTTCTCTCTTCATGAATGCAATGTGCTGTGGGTGACAGGAATGGACTTCTCCCCCGGGAGAAATTTCAACTCTCAGCCGCAACCGTCCCACTGGGGAGAGGTATTCAGAGATCTCAACCCTTCATTATGTGCCCTGAAACATACAGCTAGATATCGCAGCCACTCGGGGGGGAGGAGCAATGTTGTGCCAAAAAAAACATGTCTGTACTCGCAGGTCAGTTCAGGACTGAAACCCCGCGATGAATTGGTGCAACAAAGAAACTAAGCCAGCACTGATCTGTCAAGCGAACTCAAGTGATTTACAACAAACAGTGTTGGTGCAAGCAGATGCCGAACCTTTTATGTTAAGTTCCATGACAACGACTTGGTTTATTATAGTGTGTTTGAATTAAGGTAATTAGAAATGCAGAGCCACTAAGACCAACCCCCCCGCTAGATCATTTGATTTGGACATTACAGATAGGTTTCAAGGGTGTGAACATCAGCAGGATCACTATGAAGCATCATCAGACCTCTGCTGTGTGAAGATCCCAACTCCTGACCACATCTGGGTTGTCGCCCAACAAAATATTGTCCGAAGCATCAGAGTCTAATGGTTACCTTTGCGAATTACAGAGCATTTACGTTGCACCATGTATTGCAGTGGGAGGTAAATACCAACATTGGTACTAGGAGGAGGTTTATATGGAGGTGATAGGGCATTTTCACACGTTTCTGTACCCTTTCATCTTCTCAACCCCTCCAGTCTCCCCTTTCCTCTCTTTGCTACCCCACAATCTGTTAGCAGTGGACAGGGGACTCACTATCTGGAGCACCACCAGAGATGATTAACCTCATCAGGCCTGTCGTCATGACAGAGGTCTTCTTTTGGCCCAAAACGAGGATGACTTATTCATACGCCCAGCAACAGTGTGATCCAGATGCCTTTTTAACCCCACTAATTAATTTCAGTGGGTGGTAAGGGGGGGGGGGGTGGCGCATGGATGATGTCAGAGGAGGATTGATGGCCTCCAACACCGCTCTCACAGGAGTCATTCCAGCGTGGACTCCCTAAGCTAGCAGTTATCCACAACATGTAGTAATTGTACATGATCTAACAGACAAAGAAGATACCCAAACTACTCACTTTTTAAGCACTTCATCTCAATCATATCTGGATGAGCCACTGGTTATTTCTCATGTGTTGAATTACAGAAGACATACTGTATCCATGCCAGAACCCAATCCGCACCTTGAAGAAGCTCTGCTCACAGCTCTGAGTTTGAATGCATAGGCTGGCTGCACTCCAGCATTGGGTATCTGTCATGATTGGACTACTTTTCACAAGAGATTTCACTGTGGTCAGGAGGACAGAATCTCACCGTTTCTTGTATGTGGGGCTTGGCATCAGTCTCGGTGGGCACCTCTCCCTTGTGCACCTTTCTGTACTGAGTACACAAGCTCAAACACTCCCAGAATCTTCAAGCCCTTCCTGCAGCACAGACAGTTTGGCTATAAGGTGTAAAGGTTCCTCAAAATAGTTCATCCACCATCTAACAATGTTGAGGTCAACCACTTTTGCTGAGGAAGTCCTGGGTACTGACCTACCATCTTCCCTGGGGGACCAAGCAGTGTTGCAAAATAGTGCTTTTCCTTAGCTCTCTCAACTCCATGGAGAACAAAGCTTTCACTTCGAGCCTTTTTTAACTTGCCAGTTTTCTCTGCTGTGTTAGGACTGCACAGGTTAACCAGGCATGGAAGTACATCAGTGTAGCCACTGTACCGGACCTTATGGTGAGGAGGGAGCTAACCCACAAAGCACTGCTTTTGTCTTTTGTCTTTGCTACAACCTCCCCTATGGCAACAAGCTCAAAGCGGGAAATGAAAGAATGAGATCATGGATAAAAGAGGCTCAAATAAGTTTGTTATTCCACATGGTGGCTGGTCTCATAAGGGCAAGGAGCTCAACAAACTTTGGGGAATCTTGAACAGAAGATCCCGGGTCACAGCTTTATAGGTATACTGGCATACTGGATTGGGAGGAAACCTCAGGATTTGAGAGATGATATCTTCCAGCTGCCATGGACGCACCTACAAAGAAGAAGACGCTTTCTGCTGTGACCTTAACCCAGTAAAACTGTTATAAAAGAGTTGGACTGGATGAATGGATGGATAGACTGCAGGCCTTTAGTTTAATACTTAATTTATGGATTATAGCAGTTGATAAGTAACAATGAAGCCCCTTTTATTATCCATATACAATAACTTGAAGTTTCAATGAAGACGGTGACCTTGTGCGTCTTTGAGAAAAGCAGGAAGAGCAGCTTTATGTATAAATGTCTTTGGCTCTATTTCAATTAATAGGTGCTCCACTCCTCTAATAGTTTTAGTTTTATGTTTGGAATGAATGCACCAATTATACCCATGTTGTTGAAACTACAGGGTTGGTTAGGTTGGTCATTTACGAATACAGTCATAGTATGAATACAGACACTGGTGCACATACAGCGATTCTTTGTATTGCTACTCATTTCATGTTGTTAGAGTGTAAGAGTAATAGCTGTCTATGTTGTTGTGTGCCGCGTAGAGAGGAGCATTCTCTCACCTCGTACTCCTGTTTAAAGCCGTAGCCCTCGGCAGTCTTCATCTGGTTGATGTGCTGGAGAAGGTCGGCCACTCGGACGGCAGGGTGAAGCTGCCCTGTGTGGTAGGGGGAGCCTTTACGTCCGCACTGGTGCCTCGGGGAGCCTCCCAGCAGGCTGCTGGCCTCGTTCACTGAACTACGAGCGTCACCTGAAGAAGACACGGAAACATTTGCAATTTCAGCACGACTCCAGATGAAATATTCATGTACAAGAAGGTTACGATATAAAACATTTTGTAACACGTTCGGTTTGGGGTGACAGACACTTGTATTACCATCACATAATGGCATTCTGCATGCTGATACTGACAAATACAGTACAGTATATGTAACACGTGTGTCACTTTGATAGGTTTTTAGGGTAAAGATGTCCTTATAATAGATCTTATGTAGATGTGACAGCAGCTCTGTCTGGAGTGACGTGTGTAGCAGACCAAGATCTGCACCAACTTTAGAGTAAACACATCTGTCGCTCCCTCTCTGTGAGACTGACGAGGAGATCAAGATGAAAAGTACTGACAAGCATCACAAATCATTTATTTTGATTCAGTCAAATATGTTACTACACTTGTGCAATTCTCCATTTTTTTTTTTTGCAGTCTTGTGAGATATTTTTTGTGAATCAGCTGCAGGCAGTGCAGGTTGTACCAGAGAACATTTTTCACACAGGATGATAACTATCTTTCAGAATACTTCAGATATTCATGGAGTGAATGAGTGGCGGTCAACAAGATTACAAAATGAGGAATGATGTATGTCAAGTTTGAAATTGCATTCTGTTGTTCTGGCAAGCTGATAGGTTTGTGTACGCTGTTCATCACGTGTCTTTTTTCTTACTGCGTGTGCCGCAGGTGTGAGCATCCATGAAGGAAAGGGCCATTCTTTCATCTTCCTGTAGGGTGCTCTGGTCTGTGAAACTGCGCTCCATGGAGCCCATATGGCTCTTCTCCTGCCGGTAGGTAATGGGTGTCTTATTCATGTTCACTGGTTTCCTATTCATGGGTAAAGAAGAAGAGGGAGGGGGGAATGCAATAAAGAAGAGATTGTAATAAACAGAGAGAGAAAGGGGAAATGTTATGTTCAGTAAGAAATAATATGGAGGTAAAGATTGTGGGAAACAAAACTAAAAAAGGTGATAAAGTGAGGAAATAGTGAGAAAAAGGACATCGACTGCCTTATTGTTTTCCCTCTACAACTTATAATTGACAGCCAGAGCACAAGCATGGATAGGATGGATCACAAAACGATGGGAGAGCAAAGAGGTGGAGTCACTTACGGATAGTAAGAGTAGTAGTCCCTTCTGGCAAGAGTGCGGGAGAAGGAAAAAAGAAATCAAAAGAAAGAAGAGATGTAAGATGAAAGCAATGTCAGCTGAGGCCAGAATGCATTGATTACAGTGAAAATGAGATCCATCCTCTCGTGAACTAGGCTGTGTGGACGGCCATATGACAACATGCAAACATACCAAGCAGGTGCTGACAGACCAAACCACAGCGAGGTAGAGCAACGTGTATTTCCTTCTATCGAATACGCCTCAGTGCTACACTTCAAGGACTAGACCACGTGGCTTCCTGTCACAGCAGATTTAGCAATCAATTCTCTTCGAGCAAACTTCATGGTGGCTTAGCAGTGGAACCTGGACTTATGTGCAGAGTAGTGGTGACTTTCAGAAACAACATTATTCAATATTAGCCTGGACGCTGTGTCAGCCATTTAATAATGATTGCTGGAGCCCCGAGTAACTTACTATTTGGCATGGCAGGTTCTTTAGAATTAAATTTATCTCATTTTAGTAAGGTTATTTGAGACTTAAACTCGACCGGCCTGCAGCTGCTGCTACATTAAAGCAGAGCCAGAGGTGTAGATGATCTACTGTAGACCTGGGGGGATCATTGGCTAATAATCTCTAAAAGCACACCTTTTCCCTCCCAATTACCATCTCATTTAAGGGTCAGGCCTCTGCTTGGTGAGCGTAATTAAGTGGCTAATTGAATTGCATCCGACATTTAATTAGATGCTTCACACTCAAGATAGGCTCTGCAGACGAGAGCTGTTTGGTCCCCTCTGTGCACCATAAGGGAATGAAAACAATGCAGCTCTGGCTGTTGGTCCAGCATCTTCCCTAAACAAGCATGACCTTTCCGAAAGTTCAGGAAGTATAAAACCTGATTACTGAACTGTTCCAAAACGAAACATAAAAGGTAAAACAATGTGGGGGATGTGGTGAGATTGTGCATAAAGATGCATGTTATGCACTCAACAGTTATCAGCAGACGTTTACCCTTTCTTAATGATGATGATCACGGCACCCAGCAGAAGGATGAGGACCACCAGGCCTCCAGCGCACACCCCGAGAATGAGGCCCATCTCCTCGGAGTGTTGAGTAACCTCCAGAGCCTTGCGGTGGTCCTTGCAGGCCGCTAGAAGCAGAGACACAGATGCGCTTTAAAAAAGGCACAATGCAAATACAGAACATGAAGGAACGAGGCAGAAGGGGTCGAAGAAATGATTCACAGGAAAGTCTGAAGCAAAGAGTGTGAAAAATGTAAATGCAGAGATGGGAAGATTAAAAATTCACAGCTTTGAAGAACTTATCATTCATGAACACAAAACTCACAAATGTAGACTTTTCACATGGCACTAAAAACGTTCACACTGCTTATCCTCACTATTGTGAAGCGAACCACTGAAGTATAATGATCCTCTTAAAGCCAAAGCTACTTTTCAATAACAGTGGTATTTTGAAATAGCTGGCGAAGATGAAAGAGACACGCAAATAAAGACGCGATGCCTGAAGCAATGCAGACAGTGATTGTTCATGTTGTCCAACCCAACAAACCTGCAATCCTCAGACACACATAATGACAATTTATGCTTTGGCAGACAAAATGATTGGCCTGCAGAAGAAAAGTTTGGTTGTCTGAGAGGTTTCAACATGGCTACTTAGGCTGTTCATGATTCATACGGATGTTTACAGAAATGGAACGGAGATGGGAAAATAATGTGATTGCTACAAATGTGTGTAGAAGAAGAAACTATTTCCATACGAGTTGCAAACATGTCAGAGTGAGACGGGAAACTAATTTGCTAAGATCCATTAGTCAAGTACATGAAAAGGCTTGCAGCACATTGTTCTTCAATCTCTTGTTGAGTTGCACAATCTGACACCTTGTGATATTACAATTGTGCAATTCTGTGCTATGACACATACACTTAATCTTTGAGGTGCATTTCTATACAATACTGAATTAAACAACATTTTTCCCAGTCACAAGTAATCCATACAGCCCTACAGTACAATCTCAAGGTGCCCCTGTATCTGTTGGCTACTGGAAAGGTCGCTATCATAATAGCGGGTTATTAATTTCCCTGGCATAAAGCTTTGTACTTGTGTAAATGGTGCTGAGCAGTGGGCCTTTCTTTGTCTTGTTCTAGGGGCCCAGTGATCTAGTTTTTCTTGTGTGTGTCAGCCTGTCCTCCAGGCCTTGACAGCCCCGAAACTAGCCCTTCTCAGTCTATTGGAAAAGCACAAGCTATCTGGAGAGCGGGAGGAGAAGTCAGAGCAGGCCTGGGGATAGAGCTCTATCTTGCAGCCTGCTGGGGAAGAATCAGATCTAGGGCAGGGAAAATGAAAACAGAGCCATGTTTTAGCCTGACTATCTGCAGCCCCCCGGCTGTTTTCATTTTCACTTTCTGGGGTTCTTTAGAATCCTTTACCAAAGATGAATGTAGGAGAATATTTCATTATTTGGTGGGATTTTTTATTCAATGATGGGTGTTTGGCATATCTGAATGGATAAAATGAGTCACTGGCTTGATATTTGAAAGGAAGTGTTCCTTCTGAAACTGCTCAGGATGGGGCTTTTTGAATTGCTACCTCTGTGTAAGATGTTGTTCCAAAAATGTGAGATTTCTCTGTGTGCTGTTCAGTGTATAGACACCAAGTCTGACAGGTATATTTTACTTTGCAGTAGCGGTAGGAGACAGTTTAGTCAGACTGAATCAAAGACAACTTTTTTGTTGTTTCTATTCACACATAGGGACGCGCTATCATCCAACGATGCCTTTATGTCTGTGAGCTACTGTACCTGGAGATAACATCGATTTCAGCCCGTCTCAAGGTGCTCCCTTCAAAAAAACAGCCGCAAACTCAGCACTTTCTGTTTATTTTATGCTGTGACTTCATTTAAAATTACACGTTCAAGTGAAATACAGGGGTGCATTATATTGGAAATGTAGATGAGAAGGTGAAAAATCAATTTCAGTTTTCTGACATTTTGGACAGATAAGGCGGTTTTGCCACATTTAGCCTCAAAATTTCTATTAAGCCAAACACGAGCATGAAATAGATTTCCACATGAATCCATGCACCTGCCACCTGCCCGATGGTGGAAATTGGCACTTAGAGGAGAAATGGAAGTCTATTGTTGTGTTGAGCCTGCAAGAGGATCCTTAATTAAACTGTCACCTGGAAGTTGAAATGTAATCTCCAGCTTTGTTATCCAAGCCAGAATCATTTGCCTCCACTTTGCTTGTGATGGGCTGCTTGATAATAACGGCTTAGGACCCGATGATGCAGAGGCTATGTTAATGGTAGAGGGATCACAGAGATCACAAACAGCAACTAAAAAAATCCTCTGACCTCTGCACCTTGAAATTGGAAATCACCCTGAGAATTTTTTTCCTGTCAATTTGCCTTTCAGGCTCTATTTTCTTCGGTTACATCATCATGTATGTGGGTGATGTAATGCTGGCAATCTTTTAAATCATTTCTTTTCTTTCTCTTTCTCATGGTCTTCCTATTTCTATGTTATTGTTAATATCTTACCTATTTATTATTTTTACTGTTAGAGCTCCATTGTGCATTTCTTTCTTCCTTCAGTTGCTTAGTGTCAAAGAAAAGAGGCAAGCACACTGAAAAGCCCATTGGTGTGAAAAAGCATAATTAATCAATGCCCAACCGGGTGTCTGTGTGGGGCAGATGGAGTGAGACGCTGAGCTGAAATGGCTGGCCTTGCCTTTTGGCTTAATGCTTGAGGAGAGCCTCATCTCTTTCATTTTTCACTCACAAAAATAGGCCTTCACCAAAAAAAAGACACCCCGCCAAGACAATTTACTTGCAAGGCTCTGCTTACTGTTGCGGTGCTATGATAACTATAAATACATGACTTTTATTCACCATGATCTGACAGTGTACTACAGCAAGAAGGGCTCTCCTGCCATCAGGACTTAGAGTCAATTTCCCTGCCCTTTTCATGTCCCCTTGAATCCAAAAACTGAGGTATAGAAGAGGGAGGGAGGGGGGGGGGGGGATTTCTCATACTAATAGGCCAAGGTAGCTCCATCTTGGAAGTTTTGATCTGGAGGACCCTCCTGGACCTTGTTGATGTCAAAGCCATCAGATGTAGCTGTGTAGTAGGCTGCTGATGAGAACAAAGAGACTGCCTTTGATATAGTGTGTCCCAGCGTCTGCCCCCAAACAAACAGGATGAAAGCCTGACCTTAAATACCTCCCTGCTTGTTGCCCTTTTCTCAGAGGCACACTGCTAAACAACAGGGACCAGTCAGAGACAATTTCTCCAGATCCCCACCTTTGTACTTGAGAGAGAGGTGAGCATTGACTGCAGTATTGACTAAACTAAACAATACTGTTAAAATCACGCTCTTAATTCCTTAACCAACAACAATGAGAGAGTAGACAACATCGCAAAGCACTCAGAAACGATGCAGGGAAATTCATTCAAGGTCACAGTGTTTGTGGGAGGAGAGATATTCGTGTTGAATTACCTTTGCGAGCTATGCGGATGCAGTTTATTCTGGATTCCTGAAAGAGAAAGAAAGACATCAGAGGGGAGGGTGTCGCTTTTCCTTTTGCATAAAAGAGATGTGATAAAAGAAAAGAGGATGACGTGAAATACTGAGCTGAGACACAGATGTATATATCACATTGAAAATATGACCACAGCCGATAAAAACGCACTCGGGATGAACATTAAAGCCTGATGTTACAGAGTAAGCAGGTGAGGACCACATCTGGAACCACAGAGTTGTCTCCCCTTTCTGTTGTTTCTACCCTGACTAAATATTCAAATGACTAAACATGAGTGGGTTGCACTACGCTTCTTTAAAAAAAATTGCATAATTTACTTTTTGACAGAGACAAAGATAAACTGTACAGGAAGAAAATATTCAGACAAAAAGGACAAAACAGCTTAGAGTTAAAAGTCCTATTGATGGTGAGTTTACAAAGTGTTTCAAATCTGAGCTGTGGTGAAATGTTTGAGAAGGAGATCAGATATTCTCGCTGAAGGAGAAAATATGAGAGTTGAACGGGAGAGAGCATAATTAAGAGGAGGGATTCAGACCAGTGCACGAGTATGAAAAGGAATTCATTTTATTCAAATTTCACTGATGACATCTCAGTAATAGGACCTTTGTCAAACAGCACTAATGAGATCCAAGACTGTAATCCAATTCCATCCTGCCACCACTTGGAGGACAGGCATTATCAAATTAAGATTTACAGATGCTAATTCAGGCATTATGGGACAATTATGCAAATATCCACATTCGGAAATGAGCAAAGAGCACTTTCCTCAAACTCCAGTTAAATAGCATTTTTCTTTTTTAAATTGAAAATCCATTTCACACTGACAGACACTTAAACAAGTTCTTAACATGATGGTTTGATCTAAAAATACAGACCCAGGTAGTACACAAACATCTTGTTTGTCAGACAGACTGTCATTATATTTTCATAAACAAAAAGCCAGGAGTCATAATATATTTTTTCCACTAATAAATGCTATTTGTTGTATTTTTATGCCTGTACTGTGAGTTATCAGAAAGAAACTATATTGACAGTACAGCCTGGTAAAATCCAATGTAACAATTGTCAGCCTTTTCATTTAATAACTATTCTTTTTAGATTTTTTCAGTTCAGTGGTGGAAAGTCAGAAAGTTTATTAAAAAAGTATTCAAGACAAATTTTGAATGTAAGACACACGCATACATATCTATATATGTATATTCCTGATACGTTCTTTATTCAGTCCTTATTAACTCACAATTTTTCATAACGTATTGTAACATCACGCTCAGCAATGCCAACATTGACAGCTGACCCTTATTCTACCATGCCAACATATCATAGTTAGACATTTGGTCATAAGCCAAAATATTAGACAAATGAAAAATTGGACCTGATGAAGGTGCTTGGTGGAAAGTTTAGGGAAGTAAAAAGGCTAAAAACTGAATTCTCAAATCCTGGTTGAATATGTTTTTGTAAATCTAGATGTAAAAGCTGCGTGAACTAATGACCCTCTATTCTGTTATATTGTGGCAAATATGTTTGTTGTGATACACTTTGAAAGCAGTACTTCAAGTCAAGAAGTAGTATTGCTATTGCGTGACTTTAAGGTTCTCTATTATATATTCTGAACCTTAATACAGCAGAAAATAACTATTGGCTATGTAACATTATAGTGGAGACATGTCTACCTGAGCAGAGAGTGAAATCGCTCTCCCTCTTTGTGTGTTGTTATCAGAGTTTCTCTGTGCTTTGCCGGCCGCGCGTGCCTTACAGTGCATGTGAGAGTGCCCCACTGGCTAGGTCATGGCTGCTGCTCTGCGCTGCACTCATACAGCGGTTACAGCTGATAATGCCGTCTCGACCCAATGGGTCTGTGCAGAAATGTAGAAGCCACCTTCCACCCTCCGGTTCCCCCACGTTTACCACTGTTAGCTCTCTCAGCACTGCTGCTGTTGTTCGCATTGTTACTGCTGTTAGCACAATTAGCGGCAAGCCAGTGGCTCAGCTGTGGCCATGTTGAGAGCTGTGCAGAGGCAATAGATCAGCTCTGAATTTCGTATTGAGCCTTGAGCAATTTGATTAATTAATAATAATTAATCAAATTGCTTTATATTGTATTTTTACTGTATGTGACTATGAGCCTGACTCATTTATAGGAAACATTATCCATCAAAAAAAAAAGCTGACTCATCGGAACCTGCCTCTATAGAGACGGCATTTGAAACCTTACATTCAATCATTACTTGCTTTGGCAAATTAAGACAGAGCACATTTTTACTTATATTTACTCTGATGGTAAGAAATAGGCTATTGTGATGGATAGACGCAAATCTCTGTAGCATGCACATTTGAATCGCTGTGTGCCGGCTCAGCAGAAGAGCTGATAGGCCAGCTCCAGATTGTGGGACACACATCACAGGTCTGGCCGTGCTGTGCCAGTCATGCCAGAGGCGCTGGTGGTTCCTGGCAGCTCTAAATACAAAACTCAAATAGCAACATGCAACGCGGGGCTCTACGGCGCACACACTCAAGGTTTTACAGTGTGTGTGTGTGTGTGTGTGTGCTTGTGCGTGTGAGATGTAAGTGTAAATGTTATAAATGACTATGATGTGACCTGCAAAGCTACAGTGTATCCACAGTATTTCAAGTACGTCTTTCGACGAATCCATCAAAGCAATTAGAGAGGCTTGACAGTCACTCTCCAGATAATTAGCATGGGTAAATGCCAAATATTATGGGCCCCATATACTGTTCAAACTATTCCCACTGCTGTCACAGTTGTTGCGGATTAGAGGCAAGGTTATTTCACACAAACACATTCCAGAAAAAAAAACCACTTAAACTGACGCAGACTTTGATTTAATGCACTAAACAATTAAATACAGAGGCTGACAATTTATATTTTGATAAGGTGCTCAGGGTGCAAATACCTTAAATGCCAAAATGTCAAATATGACAATTTTATCACCACTTCCATATGCAGAAACCCTTATCTGCAATTGTTTTATCCAAGTAAATATGTGACGGCTTTTAATGCCAGCTACCCTTTCAGTTCAAGAGCAGGTGACAGTCTTTTTCCCCTTTTTCCACAACAAGTGGGCATAAGGTAATTATGTTTTCATCTTCTGAATAAAATCCCAAAACTGCTATAATAAATACCCCACAGTACATAAATATGCTAAATGCATTTCATGCTCCTTTCATTTAGAATGCTAAAATTCTCTTTTTTGGCCTACATTTTTGTGACAAAGTGAGCACAGTGTTAAAATGTAAAAGGTCTGAAAGACATAATTGCACACAGAGGATAAGCAGGAATACAAAACACAAAGGAAGACACAAAATAGCACAAAACACATTATGCAATTATAGCATTCCAGTCCATACAGGCTGCTCGAGTCAAACTTTAACATCTGCTTTATGGTTTTAATAGACTCTCATTAACACTTGTAAATAAATCGGTAATGTTAATAATATCATTAACAGGCAAGAAAAGGGGATCAGCGTCATACTGTATAATTTTGTTGGACAGTTTAATTGATGTTATGTTATGCTCTGTTATGTTATCTTGATTTATGTAATTAGTACTTTTTCATGTGTCAGTTCATGTTGTCATAGCAGTGCTGCGACATGTCCTCTATGCCTTGCTGTTGATTGGTTATATGCCTAGCAACTAGCTGCCCCTCAGCAGTGCTGAACTGAATTGAGCTAAATCCCAAGCTTTTTAGCTGACATCGCTAGTAAATAAAAACAAAAACAAAAAGTATTGTGCCTAAAAAAGAGCAAACGTCACACCCACAACACACACTTTGCATTGACAGAGGTGTGATGTCTGAAACACTGACCCGACAATAAAGCAGTATCTAAATTTATATTTTGTAATTTTTCTGACTAAAACATTTTGTGCAGCCATGAAAATGAAGTTCCTTCCCTCCCAGCACTATGTTGTTCCTTCAAAAGGAATGGTTTCAGTACTGTAGTACCAACACAGGACTCATGGCCAGATTTCTGTGACTGTGACTGTATTTTCAGGCGAAGGCAGCAGTGTTTGAAAGAGTGGGGACAGTGTTGGCTGTGTGATTTGGCACTGTGCTTCCACTCATTGTGGGTCATGGATGCTGGCCTCCTGCCAGGCAAAACAAAACCTAATCCCATCCGCCGGTAAAGCCAGGCCTCCCCGATCTAATCCCATGCTTAGTAGCCTAGTTGTGTGAAGTGCTCACACTGCACTACCTCCGTGTGTTTCTCCACTGGGTTGGAAAAAGATCCTACTGGTGTCCATGGGACTTTAACCACCGACAGGACACGAAAAGTCGCACAGACCAGTAACCCAGCTTGCATGTATATATTCCCAGATGATGATCACACAAGGCTTCATTACCTACGGCAACAGCTCTCAGCTCAGTCTGTGAAGATTAAAGCAGCAGCTTTCTACCCCTGATCATCTGCACCTGTACCCAATTATCTTTAAGTAATTGCCTCACCCAGGTAGCAGCTCTTCCTGTAATGGAATTTGGAAAAGTAATGTGGCGTCCTCTGGGTATGACTTGAGACTGGACGGCTTTGTGTGCACAAGAGTGCACAACAAACAAACAAACAACAAACAGCAACACTTTGTAAAATAACACCCTGAAATGTAAAAGATTTAAGCCAGGCTTACCTCGGTCTAAAAATACTGAACTGATTAGCTACATAAAGAAAGAGACGAATAGATAACGACATTAATGAAATGGCCATTGAACGAAGGACATGAGGCAACAACAAAAGGACAAAAAAGAAAGGAATAGGACAGAATAGGAAAAGCCATGTGAAGTGAAGTGCGTTGTTGACTCTGAGTAATTCCAGCTAATCACATCTTTGCTATAGCTGTAAGTAATTGCAAATAATTCCCTGTTACACCGCCAGCTCAATATGTTTTCATCCAACAACCCCATTCATGGAACAAATACTCTTTCAAGGGTTGTGAGCCCAGACAATGCCAACTGTCCTACAGACACAACCATAGCATTAGTAAATACAGATACTCATTAGCAACACTCCTCATTATGCTGAACACTACTGTCTACATGAAGTGCTGCCAGATCTTCCGCACCACTACTGGTGGGAGTTAACAGTCACTCACCCCTCTGAAGTTGCTCATAGCCTGGAAGTAGACAAGGTAGCTTTTGCGTGGGTCCAAAGGGCTGTTCCAGTAGCCGTTGTAAGTGTGATTGTCTCCCACAGTGAAGGGACTGGCCTCTGGGAGGCTGCTGGGCGGCAGCTCGGCTGTGTAGTAGTGTGGTGTGCCCCGGGCCTGCGCCTCACCGTGGGACATGGGCAATGGGAAACACTCCTGAAGCCCCAACTCTCTCTTTACTTTCTTCACTGTTTCCTCTTCAACCACCACCTGGTATGTACTGGACACAGAGTGGATGTGCACCGTAAGTAAGCCATGTTTAGCGTTAAAAAAAAAAAAGATCTAATATGTACATTTGAGATGATTTTCTCACCTGACAGGTGCCCCTCTGCCTTGGGCGGGGCGCAACAGGACAGTAATGGTGCTCTCTGTCTCGCTCAGGGGGGACGGCATGTCTCCGTAATCAAACGTCGGAGCTGAGGACACAGAAACGAACATATTGGCTTATCCAGTGTTTCGTTCAGTCTACCTTAATCCATTTTTAACATACGTCTCTGCTTCCTCGTGAACATGTTCAGCCCCTCAATATCTTGTGAAACTGAAAGACCTCTTCGAGCTATCCCTCCCTCAATATATACCCAATACCCATATCCTCATATTGAGTACACCGTCTGAATTTCCCTTCTAGTCGTCTTGGATAGAAGACCAATTAAGCCTTATGTGTGTGACGCCAAATTGACCGGGTTTATCATTTGAAAGGTTTTGGCCAAAGTCGTTCGCCTGATATGTGGTGGCACATTTCTTTAATATCTAAGTCACTTAGTGAGGGGAAGGAGAGCAAACTATTCATGAGGAATCAATGATTATCTTATTAAAAAGTGGTTTGCTCATACCGCAGCAGAGAAGAGCTGACATCAATTTAGGTGAGGCATTAAGGGAAACTCAATGTGCATTTGTTGACATTAAAGGTCTGTTGAGGTTTGTAAAACTAAAAGAGGGTTTGATGCCTGCTGCCAGATAATGTTTGGTTTGAAGGATGGTTGCGTATCAGCCACAGTGGTGCTCACGACTTTACGTGTATGTGCGAATGAGGAAATGTGTGTAGTTGGATACTCTGCGGTGGGTATTGCTTGAAGATGCTGACAGTAGTAGCTGTTGAAAGGTGTTCAGTGTTTGCGAACTGTCAGTGCCGATGTGAGAGACACTCAGTGTAAGTGAATGTTCTGCACCGTGGGCCAGTGGAGGAGGTTGAGGGTGATGTGCAAAGACTTTTAGACTGTATCTGCGGTCTGGCTTTGTGCTGGCGTTCTGTCTGACATACAGCCAGTAAGCAGTGATTGTGCTCTAAATCTATAATTAAACTAACCGGGCCCCTTTGTAAAGAGATGGGACAGACGGAGTGAATAAATGTGTGAGCGAGAAAGGGTGGGAGTGACTGTGCTGTGCGTTCCTAAGGGGTGTAATCCCATCCCTTAACAAGCACAAATGCATCATTAAGAGGAAATAGAAACACCAATGCTGGTTTTCTATCACCAGTAATAAGCTCTGAGACTCTTGGAAGTGACACTCTGGTCCCGAGAATGTGCTGCATCTTTCTTTATGCATAATATACAGCAGTGTCCCCTCTGCTTCCTACGAGTTAATTTATGTCTTGAGGACTGGGAGATGACAGCGTGTCAGTAGTTTGGGGAGGCAATGGAAAATAGCTCTTACACTCTGGGAGCAGTAGTTTTGCCTCCGTGAGAGAAGAAAGATGCGTAGGTCAAAAGAGAGAAAACTTGGATCCTAATTACAACACGCAGCGGGTGAAGTCTGGTGATGTACCTGCAAGGTGCATCAGTGATAGGTGGTGATGGCACAGACGCTATATGGAGAGGCTGCCTTTTTCCATTTCTATTTTACAATCTTACAGCAGCTTTCACACTCCCTCGCAAGCACACATGCTCAGCTTATACCTGAGATGTTAGTGGTGATTTCAGTGAGGGCGGTCTGCCCAAAGCCCTTGACTGTGCGGGCTCGAACTGAGATGAGGTAAGTTGTTCCCGGGTGGAGGTTGGAGAACATGTGGTAAGTCTCATTCTTCAACTTGGACACAGTTCTTCTCGGCCCCGGGACGTTGATGCCTGGATCAGACGACTCAATGCTCTGGTAACTTATCTGTTGAAAACAAGATGGTCTCAGGGTAACATCATAAAAACCAGAGTCACCTTAGCGCTGACTTTAAGCCTCATTATAGTAGCTGCTGACAAATTTCAAGAGATAGATTCATACTGATCTGCAGAGGTCATTAACTCAAACAGCTCCGTCATAAAAAGTAATTTGACTGTTTGATTGATACGATTCACTTCACTCAGAAATTAATTCGCTTCTCTAAATCAATTGCTAATTGCTCGTGTGTCTTTATAGGTTTATATGAATACTGTAGGACTTGATTGGCATTGGTACTGTTAAGTCAAAGTCATACAAGCAACCTGGAGTTTTTCAAAAAGTGTTGTGAGTGGTAAATGATTGTCTGACGGAGTAATGCATGTTAAAGGCCATGGACCGAGAACACCACGCACGCAGTAAAAAGTGAATTCAAGTGTTTGAATGAAAAGCGCTGAGTGTTTATGAGTTTAATTAACTCTTTAATTAAAACTCAAGAATTGCTGTTCATGAGTGCCCTTTAAAAGCAAACTATTTTATAAAGTTTCTCCTCAAGAGGTGATTGGCCTTGCCTCCACAGTACTCTCATGAGAATTTCCACTTATCCTCTGTGAAATAGTGGAGAGGTAAATGAGACGACCTTACTGCAATCAGACAAGGGTGAACGTATAAGGATATACAATACATTAGGGCTGGGACAGATCCACTTTATTCAAGGAATGCAGACACAGTCACTGCTCATATGCATGTATTACACACACACACACACACACACACACACACACACACACACACACACACTGAAGATGCCACTCAAGCCAAGCTCAAGCCTTTGCTGATTATCATAGAAGAGCTTAATGCTTACTCATGCCTCCTTAGTGTGGAGGTAGAATTAGGAGCCATCCAGTGACTAAACACAGACAGAGCGCTGTGCTTCTTCTACAAAGGCAGACATAAAAGATGCCTGACTGTGCACGGAGCAGTGAGCAGGGCTTGCAAAACAGCATGGCGGCCGATGGGCTCAGGCAGAGTGGTCTATGGTTTATACTGAGAGAAATGAAGAAGTTATTTTTAGAGTTCTACATTAGTTCATAAAGTTCAACACACTCAGAGATCCTGTGCATTCTCCACTTTTTATGTCAAACCACAAATCCTATTTAATAATATCCTTGAGGCGACGTTGCAAGTGAGTCCAATGAAAGAAGGCTTGAGGATAGGTAAGCAGGCCCACTGATGGCTCACCGCAGACAGAAGGTACACAGAAAATCCAAAATCATTACCGGTCAAAACATAAGGCCTGACACGGGGCTCTGCTTTAATGGCACAAGACTAGTGTTAAGTGATGGGGCTTGGCCATGTGCACAAGGTCAGAGAGAGCGAATCCGAGTAACGCTGCTATTTTTCCACCGTGCACTACATGGTTGGGTGAGGGAGAATACAAAATGGAGCAGAGTGGTTTGGTGATTAAGTACGTCTGTACTGTGCCAATTGCAGTGGCAGTTGAAGAAAATGGCTCACCAAATAGAGAGGAAAGTACTTTTGCACTGGACACAAAAATACCAAAGGAAAAAGCACATTTCAGTTACAGGAGCATGCTAATATTTTAGAATGTTGCTTGAGATTAAAAAAATGTATGTGACTGGACGTGCTGTCTATGTGCACCTACAGCTGCTGAAAACCAAAAATACTCTAGTTGACCAAACATTCTGACCACAATGTCAATTTAGTAGCTCTTCTGGAGCTTTCTATCATATCACGCATCTTCCTCAGCAGATGTTTGCCCAGTTGACATGGAATTGCAGATGGTCAAATTTAAAGTTGTCTGTGCACTTATTGGACTTTTCATCAATGATTTGGATTAATATTAATTTTAATTGAAAAATAGATATTTCAATTCCTAGGATTTAGGTGTTTGCCAAACCTTTCAAAAAAAACGCTATACTTACCTACAGATAAAGGGAGAGGGTTAGCATTAGCTGACTACATTGTGTGGGGTAACAGGTTACGTAAAGAAATAAAAATCCTTTTTAAGTATTTCTCAACTATTAAGGACACGGTCCTGGATGCATCTGGTGTATATCAACGTAGATTAGCGGATCTGTACTGCGTGTTATTGGATTGGAGGAAACTTAACAGTCCAGTAATGCTAGCCCCAGACAAACTCCTTATCAAAGACAGCGTTTAGTCGTCATCCTTAAGGCCTTTCCTTTAGTAACGTTAAAAGGGAAAAATACTGTTTAAATAAACAGTTAAGCATACATTTAAACATCTGCCTTGCTCGTCCAAGTAAGTCAACTAAACTAACAATTACGCTAACCATGCTAACAATCTTTAAAGTGACAAGACAGACGGTGTGTGACGGTGTGTCTCTGTGAGCTCACCTCATATTGGTTAATTAGGCCATTGGGCTCGACGGGCTCCTCCCACTTCAGGAAGATCATGTCATCCAGCGGGGTAAAGGTGAGCGACTCTGGCGCTATGCCTCCGGGAACTACAAGAAATTGACAGAACAAACATTTGCCGGGGAAATTGAAGTGCTAATCCAACAGTGAGCTTCTCCTGTCAATATCACAGAAGTGAATGTTACAGTGGCTCAGAACAATGCACCACATGAGACACTCAGACGAGTGAGCAGCAGGCACAGCACATCAGATAAGGACACAGTTAATTTATGAACTGCATCAATTATGTAACCACAACGCAGACAAGAGAAATAAACTCTAAGATGGATACTATCATTTTATATCAGTCTTCAGTTAAAATATGTTGATCAATATGTCAGACAATTGCTGGTACACTTATTTCTGAATGGCAGTGAGAGGACATTAACATTAACAGTTTTTTGGGCCATTCAGTTGCAGCCCCAGTCCCCATGGTGTGTGTGGGTGCTGTACAGAGAAAGACTTATGTGAGATGCAGGCCTGAGGCTAAAGCAAGATCCAAACAGCTGAGTCAACAGTTATTCTTTGAATTGAGTTAGTCTAGAGGACAGAGTTGCTTATTAAGGCTTTTGGAAGAAGCGTTTATAATTGACATGTACTGTATGTATATATGTATATATATATACAGTATATACTATATATATATATATATATATATATAGTATATTCAATCACTTCAGGAAAAAAAATCTTTCTTTTGCTTTTTAATTTTCTCTTGATCTCTTTCTATCTTTCCCCGTACTGTATAGATCTTTTTCTAAAAACCTTGTTTGTTTCGATTTGTCTTCACGGTAGAATTGATTCCTCCCTCAACTGCCATGCAGACGATGTGCTGCGGCACAAAGGAATAATAGGAGATACGAAATAAGCACAAAATCCTATCTCAGGGTTGCCAGAGGCTCAGATATAATGTTTTCTCTGTTGTGTTATTTTTGTCTAAAAATGAAACGGATCTTTTGTAATGCTGATTCCGCCTCAGTCAGATGGTCACACTCTCTGTATTGTGTGTAAGGAATGCATAGGAGCTGTTGTTAATGTTTTGCAATATCTAGCAAATTTACCACATCATATATGAATTTGTATGGTTTACCCACATATCGTGCACTTAATTAATACTTGAAAAACATCATAAAATCTCAAAAGCAACCATCACAGTGACAGTAAAGTTCTGGTTGTGGGCAGTCTCAGGTCAGGATAGTCTCCTGTCTGACATTTGCTATATGAATAGTTCAACAATTAGAGGGAATCTGCTATATTTTAGACATCGCACTCCTCCAAGGCAGCTGTCTAACGTCATGTAGTAATGTCATTTTGGAGGATGCAGGATGGTGCTGTTGAACTGTATACTGTGGGCGACTGTGGCTAAGTAGAGAGCAGGGTCGTCCTACAATCAGAGGATCGGCGGTTCGATCCGCTAGTCGATGTGTCCTTGAGCAAGACACTTAACCCCAAAATTGTTCCCGTAGCTGTGCCTAAGATGTGTGAATGAGTTAGTCTGCTTTTTATTCTATATCTCCTGATGTAAGTAGGATTGGTTGCATTAGACTGCATTAGTTTTAGCTTGGTGTGACTACTGTATATTAATGTTAAAGGTAATCAATTCTCTTAAAATCTTTACCAATGACACTTTTCATCTTTAGTTTCCCTGGCCTCTGCTTCCATACTATCTATTCTGTAACCTCCCCAGGAGACTTACTGTCCTCCTCGGTCTGGAAGGCGACCTCTCTGCCCTCTTTCTTCCCCTCAGGGTTGGCCAGTGACAGACGGACATGGATGCCGTGGTAGGGTGGCAGATCACGCAGTGTGAAGCGTGAAGCATTGTGTTCCACTGCCATGCACTCGCGCACAGTGGTGTTGTGGCCTCCGCCGCCTCCCGCCGTGGTGTAGTGGTAGCACAGGGACACTGAGTAGGTGTGGCAGCGTGTCAGGTTGAACGCCAAATTCTCCCACTGCAGGGACAACTGCCTGGACTGGATATCGGTGGCTGCGAGGCCTCGCAATGCACGCATAGGCTCTGGGAGGGAGGGAAGATTGAGGAAGAAAAAAAGAAAATTGAGTAATAACGAAAGTGGAGACAAAAACAAGCAATGATATTAGGGAAGTCCTGAAAGCACAATACTGAATTCTAGAAAATTAAACCACAGGTGGCTACATTTTATTGTGAAATATTTGATTTCCCAGCATACGACACTGTCACTGATCCCAGGACTACCCGGGCAGTCTTCCACTTGTTTCCCTCCTAGATGCGGCCATATTGCTCCGCCACAACATGGAGGTTGACGTGTTGACACACCCACATCCCCCATGGCAGAGCGGGAACTTGTGCCAATTGTGCTAATTAATTGGACAGGCTGCGGGTTGCTGTCGCACTCCCACCAGTCCCCGCCTCTGTTTTCGCTGAGCAAATTGACTATCCAGTAGTTATACTTCCTTACCCTGAGGTTTAATCCACACACAAAAAAATGCCAGTGCTTTACAAGGGCACTCACTTCCGCTGGTCACTTTTACTTGTGGGTCATTGCGACGGCCAGATGTATTTTTAGAAGGCACCGAGTTAATTCTGGTCACTGCCGGGTTAACCCTGACTTTCTCTGACGAAAAGAACAACAGCCCTGTCTTTGATATCTCCCTCAAATGTAATGGCTATAGCTGAAAGATAAAGAGGGCCTCTATACACAGAAGCACAGACCAGCCAGTGTTCAGGAGGATGTCGGAAAACTGAAGCGAGGCTGAGTTAAGCCAAGGACATCCTCAGTATCAATGGGGGCATTTATCAGTGGCCATTATAAACACAGTCAATTCCTTTTTGTCAAGCAATATGCTACCTAATGTATTGTATTGCTTCATTCTTTTAATAGGGCACGTTGAGTAATGGGCCAGGGAGGCAGGGAATGACAGCAGAGATATGGGGTACAGGAAGAGATCATTGGAGTTTGAGGTTACTGGCCAAGGTCTTCATTCCCGTACTGACTCGTGCACTCAGTGGGATTTCTCACTGCAGCACAGATTAGTGCAAGGAACTTAAATAAGGCAGCTAATGCATCACTTAGTAGGAGCTAATGCACTAAAACAAGAATTATCTAAGAAAATGGATTTTAAAGTAGCTGTACAAGGACACACAGATATGCATGCATGTGTTGTGTTAAATAATTATTAAGTCCAGTCTCTTTATCTTTTGTTGTGTCTCTTTTCATCTTCTATTTCTCTCTCACACATCTATTTTACATGTATGTTCAAACAGACAAACATTTACATGCTACTGTAACATAAGATACAACAGCCCTATGCCAAGATTCTTATGCACGTATTACTGCTTATGGTAGAACAATTCTTTTAAAATTAAATTTTATGACATTTCCAATCTATACTGAAGGTTTCGGCAGTCTCCAGCTTTCTCTTTTAATTTGCTGTCTGGCAGTAGGCCGTGTAGGCGTAAATATGACCATTGCATTGATCAGAACCTCATCCAGACTAATGTGACGGTAGATAAATGGGTGGGCACAGCAATCGCAAAGTAGCCAGAAATGTTAATGTTCCATTGTTCAGTGTGGCTGAGGATTGTCTTAATGGTGCAATTGATAGTCTGCACAGTCTGAGAGCTAAATAAAGAGAGGCATTTAACTGCTGAGTTGATGAAAGCGCCGCCAAAGAAGCCACAGTGTGCCCATTGTGGCTTTTCTCAAAGTGGACATTTGTGCCAGCCCCTTCCCTTTGCTTAGTCCGATCTGGCACCCATTCTCTGGCACCCTGTGGCGCGAAAACTGCAGCCACCCCAACATGGCCAAAGCCCAGAGCACCATGTTGATCCTTGGAGATTGGAAGTTAGAGTAGATGTGACAGGTTCTGGTTTATTATCTCCCCTAAAACTGTGAGATGGGATAGCAGCAGGACAGAGCAGACTTTGCCTTATATTGCATGCATCGGTGGAGGGTATCTGCACTGACTGTGTCAGACGGGAAAACCCAAATTGATACAGACATGCACGCCTTTACCCATGTGCGAGCAAAAACCAAGCACACGTAAATCCAAGCACCCCAGATGTAAACATACAGGGAATTTTGGCTGAGAATGGAAAACATGATGGACGACATGCCAAGAAAGGCAAAGCACTTGTGTTCCTAAAGTGTCTAATTTTAGTCAGGCTCCAGTGTTGGCTCCCTCTAACAGACCAAGAGCATCATGGGCAGGGGCTTTCCAGAAGGTTCAGTGACCCAGCAGCAGGTTGAAGCGCATTAACGTAGTTCGGGTACCACCTGCAGTACAAATGCCCGGCTTGCCTCTGTGATTTACTTGAGGGGCTTCAAGCTGTGCTAATGCACCGTGCTGATAATCACAGCAATGGCTCATCAAGCACACCTGGATGGCCATCAGAGCCAGGCAGAGACCGTGTTCACATTCACGGTCATTAGTTTTACAGCAGCCGTACGAGGACAGTTCGACTCCGCGAAGTTGTGTATGCGTACGCCGGCTAGCCAACATGTTTGGGCAGGATAGAAGTATTCAGCATGACCATAGAAGAGTGAGATTAGTCACGGTGGCGAGACACAGCTCCTGGAGAGGAAATTCACTTCCCTCCTAAATACAGCGAAGGTTCCAAAATTCCCTTCTGTTCGCTGGATAATTACCACCTCCCTGAAATCACCGCAGCACCCCCACCATCTATTTTCTCCTCCTTAAACCTAATCAGGCCAACAGCAAGGTTGGACGATTAGGATTCAGCGGTAGTATGCGGAGTCAGTAGGGATAGCAGAGACCAGATGGTTTGGAGGTTGACCAGGGAGAGCTCTGTTGTCTCCTGCAGGGTCAAGAAGGTGAGATACACCAGGCGGAAGAGGTTTACAGGGTTGCAGCTTACTGTACAGTGTATAACACATCAATACGCCCAGGTAAGGGCTGTGAACACGGAAAGAAAAACTACAAGACAGAACGATTGGCAAAATTAATTTCACCTATACTGCCTCTGTATTGAACTAGTACTGCATCTAAATGCCCTGTTTAACAGCTCAGCAAACAGCAGTATTAATTATGCCACACATGGTTGAACAAGCTAATGTCACAGTGGTTGAAATGTAAATACATCATTAAAGGTTGAGTTTAGTGACTTTCACAAACACCGATACCAGCAACTGAAAGCAATTTCCGTACGCCGTGAATCTCCTCTCGCTTCACCTCTCGCACACTCACTCTCTCACTTTGAAAAACCACCTCTCTCTCCCCCACACATACTCCCACACCGCAGCCTTCCCTCCACTCTTACTACTCTTGCCATCGACTTTTTCCACTTTTTTTTTTTTATTGTGAATTTTCTGTGTCTCTTGGTGCAGGGATTGGGGAAGGAGCGCTGTGAGCTCACTCATGGTGCCCTGATGAATGGGGGGTGTCTTTGGCTGTTGAGAGAGGAGAGTAGCTTTAATATGTCATTGGAGAGGGGGCCAGGGAGCCTCTACTGAAGCATTGTAGGGAGATATGTGAGGGATGGTGTGTGGCAGGAAGAGACCGTTGGGCATAGAAAAGAGTGATGACCGTGGAAGACTCAAATCCACAGACTGCCTTTGGGTAACACAAAGCTCTTCATTTTGTGTGCCTGTGAGCGATGCGCACGCACTGCAGATGCAGGCAGCGGTAATGAGTGTGTGCATCTACACCAACACAGTACTCTTTGTGATATATATGTGTACATTTTAAAGTGAGGATGGGAGTGGCTTGCCGGTATCCCACTCATCTCCCTGGGTGTTCCGTGTCTGCACACTGGCAGACGATAGGGGTGCTTCACCCGAGTGATAGGTGACAATGAAAAACAAATTCATTTAAATCTGCATGTTGCTGTATCTTTAGTGTAAGAGGAAGCAGGAAGCAAGCTAATAGAGCTGAAACAATTTGTCTATTATATAATTAGTTTATAAGAAACTACTGTATTTTTTTGATAATTGGTTCATTGTTTCTGTTGTTTTTCAAGCAAAAGCGGTAAAAACCAACCTGGTTCCAGGTTGTCAGATGGGAGGATGTGTTGCTTTTCTTTGTCGTATATGACAGTAAGCTAAATATCCTCTGATTTTGGATTGTTCACATAAAACAAAAATTTGAAATCACGCTGGGCTTTTGGAATTTATAATTGTCAATACTTTCTAACATTGACAGACACAATATTAATTGATTAATATAGCACTTAACCTGCAAATTAATGAATATAATCCTTAGTTTAGGCCCTACAAACCTGTTATGAATATGTGAAGTTGTACAGATATGGCCAAAGTTATGTGTCCTTCATTGTTTATTTTAAGACACTTAGTATCTGTGTTTACTGTGATTGATATGTTTACACCTACGTCACCTACACATTTTGTCCATTTCTTTCTTGTCCATTTATTGTTCGTGCCAAAAATGTCTATCCTCTTCAGTAGATATCAAAGAAGCCTGCTTTAGGCTAGTCACTGTAGTCAGTCAGCTGTTATCTTTTAAATAACAGTCAAACCAATATTGCAGTGCTGGCAGCTAAAAAAAGTCTTCCTCTCAGTCTCCTCAGCAGAGTTCAGAGAACGCCAGTGATAGCAAATGTGTCTTTTCTTAAGAGATAAGTATATGCAGCGACCGAGTCACAACTCGTCTATCAGCTCCTCTCTGATTGAATTTTAGCAGATTATCGTGACAGATACAGCCCCGTAATGTAAGACTCTCTGAAGTTTCGGGGTGTTGCTGTTGGGCATTGGTACTTTCAGCTGTGGACTTTTCATGGAATTAATTAATTAAGTGCAAAGAAGACACATTTATTGGTATTATTTTAATCTAGATTAAATCTATAAACCTGTGCAATTTAGAAAATCACAGAGCAGCATCCTGGTACAGGTTGCATTGAAGACCCTGCTGCCCCATGCTTGTGGTTTCTACCAAACAGACAGGTGTTCAACACACTGAATTCCCTTATCCGGAGCTCTGGGGGACTGCAGCACCTTAACAGTGCACACTGTAATTACCCTAAGCACTACACGTTGCATAATGGGTCCTTTCAGAGGATTGTCTCTGCCCAATAAAAAAAAAAGAGTGAATAGCCAGTTTTCTTTGCAAACATGACAACATTCTTTCATATTCAGATACAGCAAAGAAATCCATGCCATAGAAGAGATGTAAGTGTAAGTAAGTAAACAATACTCCACAATTCTGCTTGAAACAAATAACATTTGTTACAATAATAAAAGCTGGGTGGTGCGTTTTCATCTTACAATGCAGCAGCAGAAGCAACTGACCAGCGAACAGCAGTTTGCAGTAGCAATAGTACTGACAAGAGTCTGAGTGGTCTAAGAGGATTAGAGGGATAAGAATGAAAACAAAATCATGTTTAAGTCTTTCTGATTTTTCCTTGTGAACTAAAATACGTTCACCTCGAACAATCCTTGAACACTTACACCAACACCATAACTCACCATGACAGCATTAGGGCGGCCACGCCCTGTCCAGTCGTACAGTGTGTTACGAGCTCACCTGCACACTTGGTCCTGCTCACGAGAGGCGGTCCAGGTGGGCCGGTTCCTCCCTCTCCGGGCCGAGTCAACAGCACACTGATGTGGTACTCTGTGTCTGGATCCAGGTGCCACAGCTTATAGGTGACCACGTTGACTCCGTGCACCTCTGACCACGGAGACTGGCTGGCGCGGTACTCAATCTCCTTCCTGATAATGGGGCCATCTCCCAGGATAGAGTTGGTGTTGAGCTGGATGATTAGGTAAGTGGAGCCGGCGCGCAGCAGCTGGGGTGGCGCAATGGGGGATGGAGGTACTGTCGGAGGAAATAAAAAGGAGTGTTTTTCGTTTTCCTGTTCAAACACAAGTTTAAATCGTTAAAAGGCATTTGCTGGCGGGCCCATAACACTACTCACAGTCAAGGGAGGTAAAGTTGTGGTATAAATTTCATTAATCAGTTGTATGCAAACAGATTTCTCACTATGTTTAAAGCCTACTGAGTCTTAAATGAGTCCCCAGAGACTGCAGGATGTGAGCAGGTCAAACTGCATCCAAAGAGCAGATTAGTCATACCTATTAACAAGACGTTCAGATCCTCGTATAGATTTTTAGCAAAGTAGTGAGTGAAAAAACAGCTGTGCATGCAGTGATGCAGTGCATTGAATGTGTATGATCTTTGTAGCTGAAGGATTAAGTGGTGTACATTTTTTTCTCTGTCTGAGTGTTCAGTCCTCAGAGCTGGTAACCAGGATGAAAGAGGAGACTCTGCATCACTGTCTGAAAAGATTGCCAAACCAAGGATTAATTCCAGAGCCCACCGGTCAAATGTCACTTACTGGCAGATCCAAGCCACTGAACAATTACACGGGCAACAGTGTGAGGGAGGGAAGGGAATGCAAAAGAAATGAGGACAAAGCAGGAGAAAAGATCAGAGTTAGATCTGTGGCTGTGACTAATCCTTCATCCGGCAGTGGCGCCTCTGTCTTTTATGGCGCTCCTCTCTGTAAGCTTTCAACATTACTAGCTCCTCACCTCTACTCCCGGCTGCTTCCCTTTGCCTTGACTTAGTCTGCAGCACCTCATCTTAGGGCTGTCAATGACTGCATCCATAATGAAAGGCTGAATTTAGGCCTAAGGCTAAGCAGCCAATGGGGACAAATTTTAAATAACTCACTCGTGTATTTTGTAAGTTCACTGCTCAGTTTTTTTTTTTCTGCATTTAGTTTGTTAATTTTACACTTTTCTCAGTATATTATTAGTTTTTCCTTTTCATTGATTCCCTCTCTATACAGAGCTATAGAGTGCTGCAAGGATGAGTTTTGATGGCCAACCAAGAAGTTGGCATCGACAAAAAGCCAAAGGGATTCTCCATTGGATTTTGGATTATTGCAGAAAATAAGCTCTGTGGCAAAAACACGTTTATGATATTTACATATTTTGTCAATATGATGACGTTTTGTAGTCTCATTTAGCCAAACGTTAGCTACCACCTTTTAAGACACATTAACGCTTTCAAATTCACGAGAGAGGTGCCGACTGACGCATTTCATATCGTAGCACAAAATGTTAAAACCAATGACTTCCAGAGGAGAAAAAGTGCTAAAATGCTAACTCAATTTCAGGTTTTAGGACTCATTCTTTCTCAAACTAAACATTGCTCTCTGGTTCATTAAGGATTTCTTTGCAGTGAGACTCATGCTTTAAGAGGGGGTGAATCCCTGAAAACACATCTTCAAATGTGCTCAGGATCAAACTGTAATATGGGGCCAAAACAAAAGCCGCAGTCATACAGTACCATAAGGAGAAAGATGAGAATGTTTTATTCTTTATGTGGGCACGTAGCTGTCCGGGCAATAAGAGAGCTTCATCATGATTCCTGCATTCAATCTACAAAGTTTAAATGGGTGGTTCCAACTCATTAAGGGAATGATTAGTCCCTTCTTAGCAGGGCAGTGTGTGGAAAGGGATTCATAAAAGTCTCGTTAAGGACTTGGTCTCAGCTCCTGTGAAACAGATTACAGGGTCACAGGCAGTCTACTTGAACATGACTTACAACCGGGCATCACACCTACTTGTGGTGCAGAATGAGCTTTGTCATAAATAACATCTTTGTCCTGATTAAAAACCAGAATTACAGCCTCGCCGTTGTATACGTCCGTCAACCAGTCAACTTATAGTTTACATCCATGTCTTTCCAGACTCTCCTTGAAACTGTGTGGAGTGTGGAGGCAGTGGCGTAGAGGAGCAGAAGGGCAAAAATCAAAGCCATCTTGGATAACCTTTCTCACCGCTCTACAACGAGCTGTGGCAGATTGGCAGTTTGTTGCAAAGAGTATGAATGACAAGATCAAAGCCTGTGGGCTGTTCCTCATCCGAGTCAAGGGTCTAATGATGGAGGATGTTGTTTGAAGTAGAGAATTTAAAGCCCCTTGAGGATTTGCGATATTGGGAAATATAAATTGTTGTTGCTCGGCTGTGTGTATAAGTTCATTGAGAGAAACAACAGAGTCACGGTCCTCGTACGTGTTCACATGCTTGGCCTATGAAGTTGATTCTAACAGACCACAGAGTTGTAGCCATGACAGTAGAGACAGTGCTTCCAATATAGATGTTGCTGCAAAGAAGCTACAAACGTGGACACCCAGCAGCACAGACGATCTATATAATCACCACAGTTTTAAGGTGGGCACCCAAAATTAGTGTCACCAATTTAGTATCTGATCATAGGTGAAATATGGTCACAATCTTCCCTTCCGTTGCAAGGAATAATGGCCAGAAAAGTGTTTTCCCTCATTATTATTACTTAAACTTTATTACAATCGTCATATATACAGGTACTTAAATTAAATTTGACCTTTGCATTTAAGTATTAAGGAGCAGTGGGCTGCCGTGAAGCGCCGTCGGAGAAACTTTGGGTTCAGTGTCTCACTCAAGGACACTCAGACAGTAGGAGATCAAACCTCCAGCCTAGTGGTTAAAGGATGACCTGCTCTGCCCACTCAGCCACCGTGTAACACAAATTACAGATGAGGCTGCTGGGAATGTCATCAGTTTAGCAGGCATTTGAATGAAAGTATTGCAAAAAGAGAAATTCTGACCAGATAATGCCACTAGAGAAAAAGTTATTACAATGGATCCTGATGGGGAACATGAATGTCCGTACCAGATTTCATGGCAATCCATCCAAATGCTGCTGAGACATTTCAAGAACAACCACAAATGTCAACCTAAAGGGATCGTCAAATCATTCAGATACATCACCTGGGGATCATGAATGTCTGTACAAACTTTGATGGCAATCCACCAGACAGGTGTTGAGCTATTTCAGCCTGAACCAAAGTGATAAAGGGACCAACCAATTGATCAACAGACCGACAACGTAGAGACTGATATTGCCATTAATACAGCGTGTTTTGCACTCTCTCTAACTCTCCTCGTCCCTTACATCAGTCATTTAAAAAACGTAATATCGGGAGGAGCATACAGTAGAGGACAAGAAGATTGGGAACCTTTCATATCCTTATTTCCCCTTCTCAACCTCCCTTCGCTGAGGGCTAGAATTTGTTATGCCATCAAACCATCCCACAGCCATGTCATTACTACGCTGTCAAAGTGGTGTCAGGCTGTGGGGTTGGAGTGAGTAATGGGAGTGAGGTCACCATCTGAGGTACATGATATGACAGGGGCTGCAGGAGTCCAAGTCAAGTGCACAGCTCTTTGACAGAGAGCTGAGTATGGCAGACTTTTTGACAACTCCAGCTCAAAAAACAACATGTCGGGGAGATTGCATTTGCCATCCAAAGAGCCTTCATGTGTGTCGGGCACCGTACAATTTGGGCTTTGTGAATTTTATGGAAATCGGTTAGGTGTCTGTGATTTCACCCATTATGCACAAAAGATATCCTATGGGTGATTTGAAATGTGTTCACACGAGTGCCTAGTGTGATCAATTTCATTTTTAATTCTCCTTCGAATGACACGCAGTAAACTACTGTGACCGGGAGAAGCAGAAAATCCTGTTATCATAAAAACAACAGGAAACGAGTGGTTGAGATGAAAAAATGCAAAATGGGAGAGAAAGACCAAGAAGAGAACATTAAGAGACAAATAAAGAGAGAGTGTTTACCTTTGACAACGAGTTCAGCAAAGTTTGAGACCCCAGATCCCCTGGGGGACTGAGTGACACAGCGGTAAAGGTCTTGATCCGTTCGCTGGGCGCCGTCTAGCTGGAAGGATACCATAAAGCGCCGGTGACTCAAGTGCTTGACTGACGCCGTTGTTAAAATGTCCCCATTGTGTCTCTGAAAAGCAGGAAAGGACAGGGTCAGAGAAAACAGAACGGGTCATCATGTCCCTCTCTCTAACACACACAGGTACATATCATTTCATACAGTGTATCGTGTACAATAGCTACACACACAAACACACAGCTAGAAAAATAAGCAGCAGATGCCAAGAAATCGTAGCTGTTGTCGTAGGCCCTGGTATGGATCAAGCTCCCAAACGCTGGCTCCCACACTTCCCATGATCCAACTCTCTTCATTAGACCCTCCCTGCCTTTCAAACTCCATGCCCCCAGCTTGTGACACATTATACAACCCTTTTCATAGCATCATTGACTAAAAAAAGTTTCTTATCAAATGGTTGTTATTAAAAGACAAGAACGGAGATGTTAAACCTGGTTGATAAAACTTTATGTCAACATTTGGACCAAAAAAAAAAGATTCATGCTAAGATTTATGCTTAGTTTGTTTTTGATTGTTTTAACACATTTTTAGACTATTCACCAGGATAATTGTGTGACTAAGTGTGTTTTATGTTTGTTGAATATCTGTGTATGGGTCAATAATGTCACTGTTTCTTATGGCGTCTTCCTTTTATTCCCGTTGAAGTTTTTTTGTGGGGGACTTTTTCCTTTTCCGATGCAAAGGTTCTGGGACAGAGGATGTCAGATTGTAAAGCCCTCTGAGGTAAATTTGTTATTCGTGATTTTGGGCTATACAAATAAATTGAATTGAATAGTCAATTTAAAATGGTGAATACAAAAGTTATACATCAAATATAACTTGCACACATTTTTGTTTGAGGAGTTAGAAATTTCTGGTTTTAATCAATTTTGATAGAATATTTGGGGAATGATGGTGAAACTGTCAATGTGGTGTAACCGTTGTTGATTGTACCAATTAAACTTGCTTAAAACATATAAATATATATATATATGTATATATATATATATACAGTATATTCGTTTGGGCTGTCCTCAAACCAAGATATTCTTAATCGACTAACATGATTTTGTCGACTAATCGATCAGTTGATTTAATCAACGGATCTGTTGAACTGAGTTACTCCACAAAGAATCATACAAAAGCACAACTTTAAATATTGTGTTCATCAGAGATATGCTCATGAGTCTCTTGGAAATAAGTCACTAAGCATGAAAAAGCTTTTCTTTTTTAAACTAAAAAAGACTAATCAACTAAAGAAATAGTCGACGAAGACCAAAACAATTAACTAATCAACTAAGAGTAGTAATTCTGTGTGAGTATTAAAAACATCCAGGTACACACATCTTCCAATCTCTCCCGTTACACACACACACGCACACAAACATTAAATACCTATATTAACTAGCCCTTGCATGCAGTCATTGCTCAGTGAACCCCCGAGATACATAGCCAATAATGTAGCAAAACACGCTTCAATTATTGCTATCTGGGTCAGTTCTTATTAGAGTTGTGTGACTAAAAAAAGGAGGATTTTCCAATTGTGTGCAATTTAATTAGAATGGCAGGACCACGTCTCTGATTTAATCCCGCAATATGACGATCAGACATGCTTTAATACAACAAATGAAATCTTGTTAAAATAATAGTGGTTATGGGGGTAATACATGTCATGAGTGTTGTCCCTTAATGGAGCCCATCTACTACCATAACTGGCCTTGGTGTGCAATGTTATTGAACCAAAACATTGAACTGCTCAGCAGTTAGAATTGGGAGACAAATGGGCTTTGATGAATTAAGGTTTAATCAGTTTAGTAAATAGGCTGACGGATGAGTAGCAGCATGTAGACTGTGTTTTAGTAGAAAAAGAGAGACAGGCTGTGAAACAACTGCTGCTCTAAGCATTAAAAAACAGAGTCTCAAAGCACAAACGGAACATAAACAAAAGTGAGTTGGGGCAGAAAGTAGGAAGCAGAGGGAAATAGTGCTCGAGAAAAAGCGGGATTCAAATGAATGTTGCATGATGCACCTTGCTGTTGCACCGTGAGAGGCATTTCTCACATTGTTCCACACCATTAAAACCACTAGCATCTGTCAAGTCCACATAGTCTCGACAAAACACATTGAATCTGACATTTTTTTTCTCATGTTTTCAGGCCATTCCCTTTGTGTGAAATGGTGGACATTAATCTTGAAACTCATCCTTTTGATCTGCCCGTTTTAACAGAATCCAAAGCATGTGAGCATGCTGGGATTAACAAGGAAACCTTTGGGTTATGCAAAGCCATCTCAGCCTCTGTTGTGCTTCTGATTTGGGCCTTTCAAAAGCCACAGACCACACAAACCTCGGGTCGAGCCTTCGCAAACACAACACATAAACACACACCCTCTGATTAGGGTTAAGCAGGCGACTAATCTTGTGACCGCAAAGAAATAAAAAAATCTCTCAGTCATAATCTGCCGCATCCTCCCCGTTTCTTTTTACAGTATTTGCATCACCTAGCATGTGGATTGCAGAAAGGAGGCAGGGGAAATCAGGATGAATCAAACAAGCATGAGATCACTTCGTGTTACGTAAACAATCTGGCTGTGGCTAATTGGCGAGGAAACGACAAAACGATCTGTTAATATGGCAGACGTGTGCCGCCAGGACTGCGCTGCAGCTGGTACGGCAGATACAATGAACACAAAAGGGCACAACAACGGAAAACAAGAGTGATGTGAGTCTATATGAAGAAAACGGGTGACATAGACATGTGTGACGCAGACAGAGCAGCCAGAGGTATGGTGAAGAGGACAGTAAAAGGCAGAGGACAGGCAGAGAAGGAGCATTGCCGTGGCCTGGAAATCTCATTACAGCAGGCGCCCTGTATGGTCATGCCAGCTAATTGCCCAAAGCATTTGTCTTCATCCTTGTGTTGTGACCAAATACCTGGTTTGATTAAGTGCTCAGCGAGGTTCGGAATGAGGATGCTTCAGTTACATAAATCACACACCTCCCTGTTACCAAACAATACAGTATAGGATGGCTGAGGTCAACCATGATTAACACTTGCTGTAGTGGGTGTTAAGATGTTGGCAAAAGCAGTGAATGTGTAGCTTTGCAGCATGAGATGAAAAAAAAAAATGGAGCCCTAGAGCATTATGACGTTTGGTCCTTTAATCAGAGCTACATAAAGAGGAGGATTTCAAGACCACAGAGTTATTCCCCACCAGAGGAAGACCTGCGTGGCCCCTCTGACCTTCACAGAGTATGCCATTGGAGATGAAAAGACAGATATCTAAAACACAGCACATGATTTGAATAAAAACAGGAGGCAGAGAAGAAAGCAGCGAATACTATGATCCTATAAGCAACACAGCGTTTCAAAGGCAACAAAGTGAGGAGGCTTCAAGGCCTTCACGGCCTTCACGGCATTAAAACTCTGTCGACAATCTTTATTTAAGCACAAGCACGTCTGGGACACATAATGATTCAAAAACAGAGAAAACCTTGTTGCAATGGTTATTTAGGGTAACACACTCCACTTAAAATGCAGTAGAGAGTTCAGATACACGTTGTCTTCAACAAGTTTTGAGTAATTAAACAAAAGACTACAAAGAGACACATAACGACCACAAAGAGAGAAGAAACTACAAACAGATACAGAACAACCACAAAAATTAACAAGACGACCACAAAGAGACGCAAAAGAACTACACACAGTTGTAAAACAAGCACATAGAAACACCAAACGACCACAAAGAAACACAAAATAAGCGCAAAACCAACCATAAAGAGAGGCAAAATGACCACAGAGAAACACAAAATGTTCACAAAAAGATGCATAAGTATTACAAAAACATGCAAAACAACCACAAAGACACTCAAAACTACAACAATGAAGGAGTTGTTTTGTGTCTCTTTCAGCCTGGGTGTTTTGCTGCTTTTTAGGAGAGGTGAGGGGCCTTTCACATGTCCGTGCCCAGGGGCCAATGCCTCACACTGTCCATGAACTGAAGTACCTCTAAAATATAGAAGATCCAGTCTATCAGGTGTGAAAACCAAACCTAAACCTGCTATTTTCCTTTTGTACCGTTGATGGTTTTGGAGGTACAGAACACAACGCTCACAATAAACTTCTATAAACTCCATCATTAAACCACTGACCTCCAGCAGGAACTTCTCAGCCTCTGATGCTCTTCCAGCAGCAACACACTGAAAAGTAGCATTTTGCCCAGCATTAACCTCCTCATCTCCGAGCCTGGAGAAGTGCGGTGCCTTATCTAAAGAGACAGACAGAGAGAGAAACACAGTGAGATCAAAATACTCCATTACCATTCAGTTCACAATGACAGTCAGTTACACAACATAACATTTTATGAAAGCTTTTTTTTCTTCTTTTCAAATACAGAAACAGGAATTTCAGGCTTCATCCAATGTTTGCCCATAAAAACGCAAAGCAGCAACAGTTTCTTTCATTTGAAGGTTTGAAGCAGCACTAAACCTAAACGACTTCCTATTCTAATTTTGCATTCAATTCATTGTGCTTTATTTGTTCCTTGAAAGTACTGATGCATATTAATGCGTATGACTTAATGTTAAAATTCCTTCATCCTTTAACTTACTATGTACTTATTTTTTGTTTGCTCATAGCAGTTTGCAAAAATGAATTTACAAATAAAGTTGCAGGAAAAAATAAACAGAAAAGTAAAAAAATAAAGTTTGAGTTTATCTTTTCGCTTTTTTGGGGTATGTGTCATCTTTGTGTTGACAGTGGAGGATAGGAGATGTTGCATTGCTTTCCACTTCCAAATTTTCCAGACACATCAGAACATATTGTGAACATGTACCTCATATGCCCATGATAACATCGAAATGCATTTAAATAATAAAATAAAAAAGTGCAAACATACTGTTTGAATAAGACAAAAAGTGTCTAAATATGTTGAGAGGGTCACACACTGTGAACAAGATGAGAATAGAGGCGATATGAGCAGATTGTGGGAGTGAATCTGCAGAAGGAAAGCCACAGAGCAAGCATCAGTACTCCACATCTCGACTAATAATGTCCCAGCATGCTGAGCGAAGCTGCCAATGAGTCAGTGTGTGGGAGTAGCCCTCTCACCCAACTCCGGAATTAACAATAGTGCAGTGAGAACCGGACCCCTGCAGAGGCAAATCACTGGGTAAACGCTGGCAGCACTGCCTACAATCCCTGAGAAATGGGGTAGGACAAGTCGACATGTCACTCTGGATGACTGACAGGGAGAGGTGGCAGAGCAACAGTGAAGCTAATGTTTGGGTCTCACACATCTCCTGCTTGGTTTTGCATAACATTATGTTGCTATCTAGGAAGAGGCGTGGGGGACAAAGTGTTGATCTTGTTTGTGTACAGTAAGTGGTTAGGGGAGAGCGCTCGCATCTGCACCCTACAGGTGGCCATGTTTCCTTTGAGTGACTCTCCCTCCTCAAGTTGTGTTCATAATTTATGCCTGAGAGCCAAACAGCGAAATGAGTGTGAATGGAAAGAAAGAAAAAGTCCCCACAGTTGGCAATAACTGCTGTGTTGTACAGCAAAATGTGTCAGATTTTATCCACAGGAATCTTTAGCCTGATAAATATTTCAGTGGAGTGTAACACTGATTTCAGAGTCAAAGACTAAGACTCAAAAAGAAAAGCCAACCATACTTTAACCAGAATTTACAAAAAGGAACTTGTTGAGCTTATTTCTTTTTTATTTAATTGTATATTTTGTTTACTATGGCGACACTTCCCTTCGAGTTTTCACTCCGTCTTCCTCCCTCGCACTGTTAGCTGCCAACGAATGCGGGCTGGCCATGTGCCACATCCTAAGGCATGTTCAGGTCTTGATGAGAGTCTTAATTATTTAATGGCCACAGTGGGAGCATTCAGGAGATGCCATCTGCTGTCTCGGAGGAGAAACAGGGTGACTGTACGCATACAGCAGGGGTTCGACCAATCTCACAGCCGGTGTTCATTTTTTTTGTTTTTAATCGTTGGTGGTATCCTATGTGACATGACATCCCTGATAAGTCTCCAAACACTATTGTGATAACAGCAGGGGATATGTAAATAGATAATGCTAAATCCCTATGACAGAAAAAATATCCATCAAGCTTGTGTCAGTAATATACGTATGTCAGTTGAAAGCAGTGTGGACCAATGGTGTTTAATGCGCTTTGAGCCCTCGTGTTCAGCAGTACACGCCACGGATTGTGACACTAAAAGACTTTGTCCAGGTATTAAGGGACTTAGTGAATATGTTTTACACAAGGTCCTCAGGGGATAACAACACATAGAACCGCCACCCTCACTGACACAAAAAGAGCTCCGCTGCTGGGAGCCATTGGTTACAAAAAAAAACACCCTGAACATTCTCATAAAGCTTTGAAATGCAGTGCTTGATGGGGGGAAAACCCCTCTGTGCACAGTGACTTATGACGACAAAGCTACGCCACACTTCCAGTCAGGCCAGGGCACATGAAAGCTTTCAGAGAGAGAGAGAGAGAGAGAGAGAATTAAAGATTTCAGAGATCAACAAACACATTTGGCTGTCAAACAAGGCTGGAGGCAGGAACGGCAGGTGTGTTTTCAGGAGGGGAGTGTTGGCATTTGGGTGTCACAGTGTTTTAATAGCACTTCTGTTGTCACTGGGCACCTCAGGACAACCTGCAATTCTAATATAAAAAGGTCGATCAGCAATCACTCTTCTCTGCATCCTATTGAAATACATATTTCCCTCAAAACCACTAAACTTTTTTTATCCCTCCAGCACCTCCTGTAATTGCAATTCATTGTCAGAAGTGGCACTTACAGCAGGGGTAGTTGAGCACCATGATGTCATCTATGGCAATGTAGCCTCGCCGCTCTCTGGAAACCGTTGCCTCAATCAGTACCTGCAAAAGTGAAGTGAACGTGAATACGTGATGAACAGTGTAATTCACAAGTTTAATTCATAACCACAACAGCTAAAGCACACACTTGCCATTAACTTAATGCTCTCAAAGCTGAAGTGTACAAGCACTTTTCTGAAGAACATTGAGGGGCTGTGTGAATTCCATTGCTCGCGTCCCGCTTTCGGTGACAGACGCATTATTTATAAACAAGCCCATCGCCACATGGCTGCACATCTGCTGACCCAAAACAAAAAGCGAGATAATGTGAGAAACAAGAGAAAGACAGAAGCATAAAAATAGGGAGATGGATAAGTTTTGCCTCAGTCCGCAGGGCCAAGAGAAGTAATAGCTTTATCAGGAGACACACAATGTTGCGCCTGACTCACGAGCTCTATTCCACATTCAGGGCACAGGCTGCTGTGAAGCCATAACAGCAGATAATACAGCTTGCACAGGGCCACGAGACTCAAGGGAGGACAAAGCTCCATACCGTCCTCTGGAACAATAAGCTGGATGAGCAGCAGGCTCTCATGAAGCCTAATCAATATCAAATCACCATCCTCAGTAATAGTGAGAGAGTTATGAGACACAGGGGTGATGTTTGTTTTCACAGCACCAAGGACAGTCTTCCATGCACACGTTTGATCGAAGGCCGGCTTTGAGTTATTGTTTCTCATAATCCTCTGACCAAATGATTACAACATGGTTCCTATTACTGGGTCTTGATTTTTACTGGGGCCGCCACACACACACACACACACACACACACACACACACACACACACACACACACACACACACACACACACACACACACACTATGTTATATCCTTGGAGCTACTTTAAATGTGTGTGTCTGGTGTCTGTGTTTACACACAGGCGGAGCTGAAATGGGTTATATAAGAGTGGAGCTCACACTTGTCAAAGTTATGTAACTGAATCAAGTTGTAGTAGCTTCACGAGTGACTTTTTGTGTTGCAGAATGAATACACTGAGGCTGGGTACCTGAAATGTCATACTGGCGTTTCAGTGCCAAAACCGAAAGAACATGTAAGTTAATACTTGACGTTGGAGAGAGTAGTTTGACCAAAAAATCTTAAGGTACTCCAAATAGCTTGTTCTAAATTTTTAACTGCATCCCATAATCTATCGCTGATAATGCAGTTTTCCTATTATCTTTCAAGGGAATATGATATGGTTGAGAGCTCTGGAAAAAAACTGTAAGTGGGCCGTAAAATACTTTTTGGGAGATTTTCAAAAAATGTTTCAAAACCTTGAGATGTGATTGAAAGTTCAGGAGAAAGCTAAAAAGTGAGCTAAGAATTGTTTTTAATTTTGTTTTGATATAGTATTGTATTGTATATAAGTTATAGTACCTTCCAACCAATGTTAATCTGTGTTATACAGCAACTGCATGACACGTATGACAGTATCAAACATCTAATGCCAACTTTTGACATCAAACCATTTTTACATGTTGCTGAAGACTCAAAAAGTAGAAAGATACCCAAAAGACACCCAGCTTATCTTCACCACCACACCGCTTGTGTTTGGAAACCTCATTGAAGAATCACAACAACATCTCCGTGACCTCTGGCCCAAATTCCAGCTTCACCTCCCTAGAACATGTGTGATTACAGCAGAAATTGGTGTGACAACATCCCAGGCCATGCATGACCCCTAAAAGCACCTGCATCGACACATCATGATGAGAATTGGGGAGATTGGGGTCAGAGAAAAGACTCCTGACAGAAAGAGACGCCGAAAGCCAGGCATGTAGAGAGAAGAGAGGGGAGGCTAGACGGTTGACAGAGGGAGGGGTGAGAAGGAAGCAGGAGGAAAGGTCCTGGCTGCTGGGTCTCACTGTTGGAGAGTGACCCTGCTCTGCCTATAACTGGCTGCTCTCCAACGGCTCAGGGAGGAACACTCAGGCTAATCTTCTTCTGCCACAGTCAATTTTCCTGTTTGTTCCCAGACACCAATGAATCCTGAGCCAGAAAAGGCCACCGCTCTTAAAACGGGAAAATTAACATTTCCTCTTTTCATCATTTCCACTCTCCCCCTGTTTCAAATGGTCTATTTTCTTTAAAAGCCTGTGCGGGATCCTCTTCGCTCATTTCACTCTTCCTATCCTTCAATTTTTCATTGTCGTGCTTTATTTCTTTCGCTGTCCATCTTTTTCCCTTGCCGCCTTCCCTCCCTCCTTCCCTTCTATTCTGCAGCTGCCTAAACATACAATATGTTGACCTGAATTAGCTGCGTAAGCACACACCGCCATGCCATCAGACTAACATCCAAATTAGCCAGAAACACTGATTAGGCTTAATGGTATACACAGAAGAGAGAAAATTGTCTTGAAAGTCGAATTGAAGGTGCTATTACTCTCTGCTGATCTAAAACACTCAATAACAAATTGATTGCTGGTTAATCCTCACTCTTCTTAGCCATTAGGATAGGAGGTTATTAAGAGGGAGACATTCAGAGCATTTGTTTCAATAAACAACCTTCCCAGATTTTTATTGAAAGCCACTTTCCCGAAGAAACTTTCTATATACGCCTGTACTTTATTCTAATGAATGGCTACTTTACTTCCAAAAGATATAAAAATGCAGGAACTGTCTTCTGAAGAAAAATATAAAAGCGGGACACGCAGTGATTTATGACTGATATAAAATGCACATTAGGAGAACATATTACATTACCCTGCATTATTGGCTTTTAGAAGCAATTGTTATGTATACAAATGAAGAGATGATTTATCCGGCCCTATAAACAAGCTTCTACCGTTCCCACTCCGGTCAAGAGACACCATTAGACACAGGGCTTTTACTCACCATTAGACACAATCATATATAAATAACTTCTTAAATATTCACAGACAAAAGGTCGCATGCTGAAGTAAATCTGTTCAGGTGGAAAATGCCAAAGGATAACAGCCCGTGTCCGACAATATGGTTTAAATCGTAGAGTCTCAATTTGCTCTCCACAGTATTTCACAGAAGTCTTTTCCATCACCAAAGGCTCATCTGGCCCCAATCATCAGGCTGAAGTAACGAAAATAGGAGATATTATGAGACAAAGCTGAGACGGGAGGATTCTCATTCACAAGTCTTTGATGACCACTATCCAACTTGTTCCTTTTCCTTAAAGGAATTAGTCTAATAAGGAAACAAGATGGAATCATGGGAAACATTATGAAGTGGGCTACTGTGGTTTAAGAGGTCAAGCTAAACAGGCACACAACGTGATAATCAAATATATGCACCTACAAATGTTTATTTGTCTTGAAGATATTCAAAATGTTCGAAAATATTCACATTCTTCCTGAGATCTGGATGAGAAGATCGATACCACTCTCATGTGTCATTTGTTAAGTTCAGAACTGGTTAGCCTAGCCTAGCCTAGCTTAGCTTAGCATAGAAGCAGGCGGAAACAGCTAGCCAGACTCTGTCCAAAGGTAACACAAAAACAACAAACAAACAGCACCTCTAAAACTCACTTATAAAAAATACATCACCACACTAGGAGTTATGTGCTGGGCTATTTCATGGCAGAGCGCAGTGACTTCCTGAAGGCTTGCCATCATTGTGGGGGTACCAGACAGTGGATTTTGAATGTATCAATGTGCATTTGACATGACATGCGAGTATGGTATTAAGATCACACCTATTCTAAAAACACCTTCAACAGGGAGGGTGTAGTGAAAGAGGGGATGGATAATATATTATACGCAATATCAACAAGTGCAAAAAGTAAAGCAAGGCAGAAGAAAAGCAGGTCTGAAGAAGATTCTGACATTTGGAAGGTGACGAAGTGAGAGAAGAAAGTGAGAGACAGTAAAGAGGGGAGGGGGACATGTCTCCTGCTGGAGCTGGCAGTCTTGGAGGCCTAGATAACATCTTTAATATTTGATAACAAGGTTCTCCAGCTATTGCAATGTATGCCAGACCAACACCAACATCTTCAATCGAGATATCTCAAGGTGATCTTGTTCTGTTCGATTTTCACCCCCAAAATACATTGCACTCCAAATCCCAATTTCACAACTGTGATAGGAGAAACTGATGCAGGTGTAATCCTTCTTCAATGCTTAATACTGGCATATTAATTATGTGTTTTGGTGACTACAAGAGAACTGCTTTGACTGTTTTTAATTACATTCCACGGTGACTTTTTCAAAACAGCAAACAGTATCTTACATGTGCTGTGAACAAGGTATGTCATTACAATGTAAACCATGAAATGAGCAACCTTGATAGTCATCTTACATCTATATACAGTATGTGCAGTACAAAAGGCTAAACTGACATTTTGTATCCCTGTGCTGAAGCCAAGGAACTGGGAGCTCTAATATGACCTGAAATCTAATAAGACGGAAAAACCTGCGGATTTGAAAGCCCTCTCTGGAATGATGTGTGTTCTCCTGGGATTTATTTTTACCCAAGAGACAAAGATAAGAAGTGCCTCTTCTCCACCTCTGCTTCAAACGAGTGCTTTACTAGTTTAATGACATGGTAAATCTGCCTACCTATCACTTAAAATCCAAAGTGATTGTATTAGACATGCTATGAAGCTAATATAACCCATACCCTTTACTATTTAAAGTCACACAAGCTGCAGCTAACGTGCTTTAGAGCTAACAGTCTCGGGTGAATTTCAAGAGACCTGTGTTGAAGAAAACCAGTGTAACAATGTCCCATAGCCCTCCTTCTTGTTCTTCTGTTTTTATTGCACTGTTGACGGTTAACAACAGAGGATAGCATTAAGATGCTGTGAAAGAAAATACCCAGCCTTACACCTCCACATATACCTTCTTCTGTTTTGTCTGTTCAAAAGAGAGCAGTGACGTGTGGTAAGGCAAGACCTTGTGTTATTGCACAGTGATGAGCTCTTTGACTGCAGAGGGATTAGCAATGTAAGCTGTGGTATGTGTGACTTTGAGGGGGCAGTTTGTTTTGGTCTCTTTGTGCTGAGAAGCAAGCTCAGTAGAGTTAAAGTCAAATGTGAAATGAGAGAGAAAGCAAAGCGGAAAATGCTTTGATTGCTTACATGAAGATACATTTTCTCTACCTGTGCCAAAACCTGCTGACCGAATCCCCCAATTCTGTTCCAATACATTTGAACACTGTGATTTCCCACACATGAGATAAAAGTGAGGTTGTTCAAGACATTCTATTAAAAGGCTGTACTGTCAATACTAATTTAGGTGTACTGTTTGTCCTGTCTTCCTCCTCATACGCCCTTTATAAACCTCCTCCTAACTGCAGCCTCTCATTGGGGGCCGCGGAACAATTCTGACTCACCTACTGGCCGTCATTGTTTACTGGGATGCTTACAGAACAAGAAAGTGCACAATTCCACTGGGTAAAGATGAAGGGGAGGTTGAGGAGAACAGAACTGGTATAAGTACACAGGTACATTCAGTAGTAGTAGACAGAAAATGAGAAGGCAGGTTAAAACATATTGTATTCGTGAAGTATATCTGTCCTGATGTAGTGATACTATAACAGAATAGTGGTTCAGGCTGTTTTATAACAGAGAGATCTCAGCTCAGCACACTAACTGCATCCATCAGCAAAAACACTCGACCATTTCCGGCTCACTCATTGTTAAACATTCATCATAAGAGAGACAGCTATTTAATACATTTAATTGGGGTGCTGTAAAAGTAATGATTCACAATGAAAATGCCATGAAAATAAAAGAACAGACAGTGAGAACCTCGTTATTTTTGTTGCACCATTGAGCTAATGAACAGTTTTACTGGCAGGGGTCCTTGCTGGCTTGTTTATGAGGGGCAAAGCTCAGGAGAAGGTGTGACTTGGCAGTAGCATTGATTAGTACAGCTCACAATCCTCTCGTATACAGATTTGTAGCTAGAAAGATGAGTTTTTTTATTTCATTTTTTCAAAGGTATTTCTAAAAGGCCAAGGGTCCCTTAGGATTATGTTGTCTGCATTTCAATGAAATATAAACATTCCTGGTAATACACTTATTCACTTTCTTGTCAAGACTTACAGTAAAAGAGAATCAATCAAGTGTATTTATAAAGCACGTTTAAAAAACAACCCACGTGGATCAAAGTGCTATACAGACCAGAGCAGGTAGCTAGAATCACAGATGAAAGAAACACAGATGTAAACATCCAGATCGATGGCATCCTCATGTCTGTACGCTAGATATGAAGTGAGAGCCGGGAGGCGATTAGCTGAGCGTAGCATAGTGACTGGAAACGGGAAAACAACGAACCTGTCTCTGTCCAAAGGTAACAAAAGGAAATCCAGCACCTAATGTTGGTATGTGAATCAAATCAACACGTTGTATCTAGTTTGTTTAAATTTGTACAAAAACATCTGCCTGTCAACCTCACGGTGACCACCAACGTCCAGCAAGTCACTGCTTCCAGACAAGAAATAGTCCAGCTAATAACTCTGTAAAACCACAACTTGTTGTTCTTAGACAACAGTTTCTGTAAGGATTAAATACATTTGATAAAATGAATGAGCTTTAGAGGTGCTGTTAGGCTAGTCTTAATGCTAAGCTGTGCTAAAAAATGTCTGGCACTATAGCGTGCAGATATGAGTGATATCAATCTTTTCATCTAACTCGCAGCAATAAAGCAAATCAGCATATTCCCCAAAATGTCTGACTTTTTCCTTTCACAACAAATCCCATGAGGCTTTGACAGCGTACCAGTGGTTGAGACAAAGTTATTTCCATTGTACTTTGGTCGAAGTGCCACGGTGTTTAAATATTCTTCTGACGTGTTTGTGTGTGTTTCTGTATGTACTATATTGCATCTCTGATCTCATTTTAAGATCATGTGACGTTGGTAGAACAGTGCCAGCCTACATCTAGCACTCTGTTTATACAAAGGACTCTCTTTTCTTTTACATAGCGAAGGTCAAATCTTGCAGAGCCGAATAGAATTTAATTAAGTTTGGGGGGGGGGGGGATTGACAGTTCTTGATAAAATGCACAGTAGTCCACTTAATTGCTTTTTGACAGCTCCGCAGCGTTTGCAGGAAAAATAAATTGGATTAATAGATGGATATCCCTCGTGCTCACCTGACTATGCCATCTACAGACCACAGCACATCAGGCACCAACAGTAGATGCCAGTCAATGTCTGTTTACTACAAGTAGGCAGTGACATGTCGTGCAAATTGTTGGAGTCGGCTGAATACACAGTACACAGGCCTCAGTGGGGGAAATCTCCACCAGGCATGCCCACAAGAGAACTAGCTAGGGCCCTCGAGCACTGACGTTACCTAGATTCCCTTGTGAATCTATGCTAATTAAATTGCAAATGCAAGTAATTAACACCAGATTCACCTCGAGGCTAAAATGAGTGGTGATCAACAGAGCTTTACTGTGTACCATTTTTCATCTGAGCAAGATGTCGGTACATGGGTCTGCAGATCTTAATCACAGAAATGAAAAATCTCTTGACTGTTAAACTCCTCAGTGTCAGAGGAGCATCTTGTTTCATTAACACATCATGAGATCAAGGACCCATTAGTCAATTCATCACATGTAAGAGTACAGAATCTCAACCTGGGAGTGACGGAGTTTGTACCTGGTATTCATTAGGCCAGAAGGTGCTGACTGCCAGCTCAACCTGGTGCCACTGCTTGGCATGAGACCCCGATATGTTCCAAACCGCACTGCCGAGTGGACCCCCGTTGACTCGAACGTATGCCCGCAGGGCCCCCGGGCTGTGGCCATCACGACTGTACAGGAAGTAACTGAACTGGACGCAGTGCGTGTCATTTTCACTCAGCGTCTGCAGCAGCAGCTGAGCACGATGACCCACGACATGCTGGGAAGAGTTCACCAACATATAGGATCCTGGAAGGAACACAAGAAATGCATCAGTTAATTTTAGTATTCCAACTTAATGGGTAATCGCAACAGTTTGTCACTTCTATGAGTCAGAAACAGACGTCATCAACAAGTTGTGGCAAGTAAGCATACACACAAAAAGTTACCAAACAGCTTAAATGCCTGCGGTGTTGAATCATCCTAAATTGGAAATTGAAAGCAGCCGATCAGACACCAGCACTGCGTCTGCAATGCCCGTCTTTCCACAGGCAGTAATAACTTTTTGGTCAGTGTATTATTATTCAAGGTTTACAAAAAAAATATTTGAGGTATTTTACTATTTATTTACTGTGTTGTTTTCTTTAAAAAATGAGAGCCAATAAAGAGAGACATGATGTACTATAAGTGTGCTCTATGCATTATGTAGTCAGGTTTACAGATCTGAAAGGGACTGGAGGTAATAAATATACATTGATTAATTAATCAGTTAATAATTTAACCTCAAGTTAAACTTGAGTAACAGAAAATGAAAATGAATCACTATGAGATCAAATTAATTACGATCAATACAGTGAGAAAAAAAGCAGGAAATATACATAATGTACAAATGTATTCAGAATGAGTATAGATTACTTACACCAGTCTTTATAGTGTGAATATGTCCATAGCACAGGTTTTCAATTGTTACTAGATTTACAGATAAATGTTGGCGGTTTGTATATGAGCCATTGAGGGATTTGTGTTAAGCTGACTCATATGAACCAAGGCAAACTTGTCACAAAGAAACAAATCTGCAGTTAACCACTCTAAGCAGGGTGAATCCACCAGAAGGAAAAATGAAGGTATTCTTCCCCAACTCATTGTGTAATGTGTATGCGGTTGATAACCGCAAAAGAATTGTGCCCTGTTGAATAGAAGGACACAATCTGTGCTGGCGAAGGCACTCGTGAATACTGGAGGGAGACACAGAGAACAAGTGAGAGATGGTAGCAAAAGCAGACAGACTCAGTGAGAGAAAGTTTTTCCCTCTGCAAGGTGACGTTGAGGTAGGAAACGAAATTCACAACCTCCCCCCCAAAGCCTCCTCTAATCAGGATAACATAACCCCATTGCCCTTTGCCTAGCATCTGTCCCGCCTTGAGTCTGTGCCCGCTAACGTGATTAGCACAACAATGTTGGGAGACCTTCCTGTGTACTCACATAATCAAGCCTGTTGTCTCTGTACGCCAAGGTCTTTCTGTTCTGTCAGGAATGAGCCCGAGAGAGCAGACAGACACAGCCTTGGCGCCAGGTGTCCTGAAGACATTTATTCTCCACTCAGATGTGAATGCTGAATTGCCAGACAGATAATTCTAAACATCCCACACAGTGTGCGCCTCTCAACTGGGAAGCATCCTCGACACACACTATACTCCGTAATGTTTTCACACCTTCCCAACAACTCACCATGCAAACACAAGTACAGCAGCACGAGTTATGAGTAGGGAACCTGTATATGCTTTCCAGGCACAAGAAAAAAAACTCGCTCTCGTCTTCCTCTCCATTGTGTGCAAAACAAGACAAGTGATCGAGTCGTCTGCTTCTTTACCAGCACTACTGAGAAAGCACTACCGGTAATTACCTCTTTAAGTGCAAGTAAGACAAAGCACCTAAATCCACAGGCTGATGTTTTACATAATGAAAAGGAGATCAACAACCCTTAACCCCGCACTATAAAGGAAGTTTAACTGAGAAGCGCAGAGAAGTAGGGACGGTCATTAGCTGGAGGCTAGAGTAGCGGCCTTTTACTGCAAAGCCCTGTTGCCCTGCAGCCCACTGTCAACCACCCCTGATTTGTGTCTCGTCCCGGCTGAGGATCTCTGTACTCTCATTTCGCATTGCTTCATTAGATCTTTCAGAATCTGTATCCTCTCCTGCACCCTCAAGGCTCCCGAGGGACTCATAAGATAATAGCAAAGGGCTGAAGTGCTTCAGCCGTGCTGTCCTCACTGCTGGTTATATGCTGGACACGTGCCACTTTTTTCATATATATAGACATCATTAACACCTTTCTGTTGACTCTGCATTTACTATAATGTCACGTGGGGACACGTGAAGCAGTCATTCTGCTGCCCTCTAACCTCTTTTGAGATTCAAATCGAAGAGAAGTGAAGTCATATAATTAATAGGGTGCTGTGTCTGAGTGCATATGATGTATGAAAATGAAAATGTCCATGAATTCAACATTGTGGCAAAATGAATTGAGGTCCTGGACACATTCTGTGCAGTAATCCTGATATGTTGTGAGATAATCAATGGCAGCCCATTCAATATTGACATTATGCATCATTTTGGTTCATGTAATTTGGCAACGTGTCCTCTGGAGCAAACAACATGGTTTTTAAACAAATTCAACAAATATTGCTACGAAGCATGTTTTATTTAATTAATAAATAAATAATCTTTGTATTCTTGGTTTCAATACATACATATTTTAGGAAAAGACATTTTTTTTCGAACTCTTTTGATGAACTGATGCAGTTTCTTAAAAATGACAGAACATATTAATAAATGTCCAAGGTTACATCTTGATATTCTTTGTTTTTGACGACCAACAAAAACGCTTCGGTATTTAATTTTTTGATATTTTCATGATACAAAACAGGTAAAAGCAGCAAATCTTCACATTTAAGAGACTGGACCTTCTTCGTTGAAGGACTAGTGAATATTAACCTCAAGGTCAGTCAATTTATCCCAACCTTGACATAGGGACACTCTGAATAACTATCTTCAAAAAAGCTGGGATGATTAAAAACGGGTTACCATGAAGAAAAGAAGAGGTCAAGGTGACTGTTGCTGACTTGCGTGCACTAAGTAATGACGTTCTACGACTTTCTACGAAAAGCACTCCTCAACTGAAAGTATTATTATTAATTCCATGATTGTGCACTTTGACTGTAACTTTCAGTATGTTTGTCGTGTAGGAGAGTTCTGTGGCAATTAGTTCAATAACCCTCTTGTGTAACCGGTACATCAGTGTAACAGCAATACATCTTTTCATAGACTAATGTTCTTGTGCCATTTATTATCAAATATAAAACAACCTGATAATACTTTTCCTCTAATTCCTTTGTTTTGAACATCAAGTCACTCAAGTCGTATATTCCTGCTTGCTCAAGCTGAGGGCCAAAGCCAAAATTGAATTTCTTGGTTTTAATACCTACATAATGTAGAATTAGGAAATTTGTCTTGAGATTTTTTGTTTTTTCTATCAAATGTTCTATATAGGGCTGCAACTATTTTGATTATGTAATTTATTGTGTAGTTAACAAAATGAAATAAAAAAGTCCAAGGTGACTTCTTAATATTGTTTATTTTGTTAGAACAACATTTGCCATTTTCTCACAGATTTGCATGAAGTCATCCATGCTCTCATATCTCAACAGTGCAACTAATGAAGGCTTCAGCCCAATGAAAACCGCCCACCTCTAACTTATTCAAAATGTAGATAGAGGACAAGAAGACAGCCACCCCACCACTCTTGCCTCCTGATGTAAGTTTTAGAATTGATTTTAAGATGTGACTGATAACTTTTAACACTCTACATGGTCAGACTCCCAGCTACATTATAGATATGTCGATCCCACAAGAGTCGCAGGGCAGCCTAAGATAGAGGTCTTCTGGTTGTTCTAACAAATTGCCTGATTACCAAGAGCGGCCTTTTCAATCACAGACCCTAACGTTTCAAACTAGATACATGGGCACATCAGGCTAAAACCAAAACAATCTGTGTGATTGTTCTCCTGGATTTATTAGGTCACTGTCTTTGTGTAGCAAGCTTGTATTGTTGTTTTATTTGTCATATTTGTAATCATATATTTTCATTGTTTTGCTTCCTCTTCTGTTTTTCATGTAAATATCTTTGTATGTTTACATTCTCATTGAAAGGTAAATGCTGGAAAATAAATGTAAACTAAATCAGATCAAGCTTTAGTGTTTAGCGCCACCGTGCATGCCCCCCACACCACAAGCACCTTTCATAAATGATCCTCCAAAGCGTCGTGAAATCTGATAAAGTTCCACCCATCCATTGAGGCCCCTCCCAAGGGCAAAAGAACATCCATAACAAGATTAGGACTGATCCAGCACATCATAATTCATAAGGAGCACGGCTGGACTACAACCTGGTCACAGGCTGTCGGTGACACTATCTGTGGCAAGCCACAACAGATCACAAAGGTAGAGGAGGGCCATAAACAGAGGATGGGGTATGACTTGTGCCGCATTGATAGATTAAGTGAGGTCACAAACAAAGACGCAGAGTTGTTAACATAGGAGATGTGAAAATAAAACAGGGGAAACAATATGAAAGCAGAAGGCTAACGCATCATTTTCTATTAATTTTCCTCCTGTGTAGAATGTACGGAGCCTTTCTCTGTATGACCCATTCAGATAAACCTTGTTCCTATGGCATCCAAGGCCAGAGTCCAAGACATCTCAGAGAGAGAGCAGAGGTCTGAATATACGGGGATCAATGGCTGTGTTAGGCTTTAAGAGGCACCCTTGCTGCTGCTTGCCATGTTATTACATGCCAGCTCTCAGCACATTGGCCTTGATGCTCGTCTTTTCACCACGCGCCTTCATTCTGCCCTGCACTTTGTTCTGAGAAGGTCATGTGGGATTTCTGACTCAATCTCTAAGGTTCTGATGTCCCAAAACTGTCTGTTTATTTGCTGCTGTCCGCAATAACCTTCAGAACAAATAAATGAGTAAATAAATAAATAAAGCAGAGCTCTGGCCATTGCCCTGAAAGGCGCATTAGCGTTGTCATTTCCCTGATGTTTGGTATCCCTCTGGAAAAACTGGCTCAGAAATGTAAAATTGCCTAATCGTGTAGTGAAATTGGTCACGGAGCAATAAGAGCTCTCAGTGGAAGACGCTGCAATCACAGACATAAACACCTTGTCGCTAACATCAGACATTAATGTGTTTACTTTCCATCACTGTACAAAGCGAATGACTAAAAAAATGATTATTTGCTGTGTTTT